GAGCATTTCCTTATGGTATTTTCTAGTGTGGATCGCAACAAGCCAACAACGGCGGCGGCAATTTTCAACAATCCCATACACACAATTCATGTACGATGTAGACGTTGAGGTCGCAAACTATTAACGTAAAATAGCATTGGTTTTTGGTCAAAGCTCAAACCATTTAATAAACTAAATGCAAAAATCTCAGCTATTTGGCCAAAAGCGATCGACGAAACAGCAACAACAACAACACTGACCAATGAATAACTAGCGGCAAAACTTCTGATTATCCAACGGCAATGATTGCATTGTTTTTACACCGCTGTTTTGGTCGCTCGACAAACGACATAAAGATTCCATTGAGATTGTTGTGGTGCCCTAAGCAGCCCAACACCGTCGACATTGAAAATACGAAATACATTTCACAGCTCGTTGCCAGTCGAGCAACCTGTGTGACTGCGAGTTTTTCGCGCTTGTTTCGCGACGCAAATGGTTAATGAGAGCGTATGGAATTCACTTTTTGATAATCTTTACACGATTCAACGTGTGTTTTAAATTTTTATTTTATAAAAACAACCATTTCAATCGTGATGTCTTTTTTGGTTTGGTGCCCATTGTAATTATTGTTTGGTTTTGTTGCTGTTGGCATTTTTTTCGGCTTAGCATTCAAATGGCCGTGAATGTCATCACACGGTTAAGTTGCATCGCGACTGGATGTCTCTCTCGAAAATCGACACGAAGATGAGCCAACAATGTTGCGTACTGTGTGGTTCATCTCACGCAGGTTGGTGTTTTCGTGGCAAGGAAATTTAGTCGAGCAAATAATATGGTCGATAAACATATTTATTTGTTTTTCTACTTAAATTAACATATTCCACGTTCCGGTGCGTGTAAAATCAGCTGTTCAAACAGATAAATTCTCGGAACGAATTGTTTCTCGTTCATATCTCTTTCTTCGTTGTTCATTTAAAACCAAATACATGTTGCGTTCTGAAGAACATTGTTAATTAAAGCGATAAAACGCCAACTCGCGCATTGTCATTATTTTTTTCTTGATTTCGAATCAATAAAAAAAAAGAAGTTTCGAACGTTAAATTGTTGGCCATTTCATTTTCAGTTGGAGTTGTCAATAAAATGTTGTTATTTAATTTGTTAATTGCATGCAAAAAAACAACAGAGAAACAATGGTGGGCCAATCGAGTGGAGCCCGGCGGCGAGCCAAACGGTTTAGGTGTTTTATACACATTTGGTCATCAAATTAATGCATGATTGAAAGAGTGTTACGCCGTAGGTGTTGTTAGCACGCCGGTGACATTCCCCCCGTTTTATTCGATCATTAATTACTATGGATCGTGTTTAGGCGTGCATATGGATTTTTGATTGGCCTTTCGAGCCCAATTAAATTGATTTCTTATCGATTTTCGACCCGATGCTGGCCAGCTCATCACATGATAACGAAATCCTCGAAGAAATAACATTTACATAAATATGAATTGATAATGTACCAATTAACAGTTACGAGAAGAAAAGAAAAAATCGTTCAATTCCACTGATTACCTCATACCGTGGCGCTCGGTATGTGTTTGTTGTTGTTTTTTTGCCCCATAAAACTTAGAAATCAAACCGAATCGATTCCATTTTCAGATGATGTACATTCACACTCGATCGCCATCGATTTTATATTGTTGTGACACACTTTCTTGCTCATGTTTTGCCATTTGCTAATTTATGATTCCTCATCAAACAGCAACAAAAAATAAACGGCACTGTTGAAGCGCATATTTCTTGTGTGTGTTTTTTTTTTCGTTGGGTCAGCAGCAATGGGCTAGTCAAATCGAAAGTTTCAATTGCATTGCGATGCATGACTGATTTCAGGCAGTCCGTCAATCACACCGAAGAATATTACGCGAACACAACAGAAATTAATTCATGTATTGGCACAAATAAAAACTGCATAATAAACATAATTGTAATATAACACTCGGACATCGACCTGAGGACCAATATTATATCGCATTTATCAAATCGATATTCATGCGCTGAATGTGGCGATTTTTTTTAACAAAAAAACCATAAACCATTTGAAATTTGGCATGTTTTCCATTATGAAACGCCGAGAAAATGCTTTTCAATTCGAAAATCGTGTTTTGTGTAGACAATCACTCCTCCTTGAATATCGGCTCCGAAATGATTTAGAAACTTTTATTTTTGCGCGAATAATTTATTTTTGGAAATTTTTCCAGCCAAACTCGCGATAGAACAATACGACCATTCTAAATTACAATTCTCAACGACTACAATTTGCTTGAGACTAAATTGCTTAGTTTTTACAATTTCATTTGAGTCATTTAATGTGTAACAATGTGTTTTCTGTGCTTTTGCTCTCGGTTTCCCAGTAAAGTCAAGACAATGAACGTTGATGACGTTGTTTTTCCCTGATTCGAGCTTTTTTTTACTCATTTGGAAGAGTGAAAAAAAACATCAGAACAAAGTAAGTAGCAATTACCGAAATTGCTGGGCAGACCGTTTACACGACTGTTGGTCAAACCGGAAAAATAATTCAATTACAACTTGCACACATTAAAATCACTGACGCATTCAAAAGCCCAATGTCTTTTTTGACAAAACAAGAACACACGAAGCTACTGGGCTATGGTTGTGCGGTATGAAGATGATGACCACATCGAGAGTCGAACAGAGTATAAACTCAACGATGTTTGTTCGTTTATTCGCTCGTCGACGGCCATTCCACACAGACCACCTATGGTTTGGCTTTGTATGGAGCATTGTTATTTTAAAATGAGCCTCATTGTTTGTGGTCACGAACAATTCGCAAAAGTCATAAATACATTTATAAATGCTGGTCGCTTGCCTCTTCTTTTCTTTGCGTAATCGAAAGAGAAAACGTTTTCGCCATAAACTTGAAACGGGAGTACATCAGATAAGCTGATAACAGAGTTTTACTCGTTTAATCCGCATCCATTTTAATGTGCCGTCAAAATTGCGATAACTTCTTTGTCATTATCTCTATCAGTAGCAAAGATCAAAGGCATTTTTCCGGCAAAATGTTTCGAAATGAATATGAATTGTTTTTTTTTGCATTGCAAAACTGAATGCGGGTGATTTTATTGCTTCCGAAATTGCAACTGGCCATAAGATCAAGCAAATGCGACGTGATTCCAAAAATGAAACCGAAATATTGCCATAATATCCATGGACTACATTTCAACACCTTGCTTCAATGTTGTTTCCATTGCTTGTGTGCACCGATTTGGGAATATCTCATTGAAATCAGCAAAAAAGTGCGGGAGAGATAGAGAGAGTGTGAAGAAGAAGAAGAAGTAAAAAAAATCTGCGAGATAAATCAAACAAAAAAAATCTCCATTTTCTCTCACTTTTTCGGCGAATTTTTGCGAGGAAATTTTATTTGGAATGCACTCACTATAAAACACACGACGGCAGCGGCAGCGACGATGGCGGTATCATTAAAGAGAATGTTAAAACGAAACTGAAATGAATAAAATTAAGCCAAACGAATATCGCGAGCGGGCGAACGATTCGCAAAATCTTGACCGAGAGTTGTCACAATTTATTACCACCATTTTGCTTTCAACGGATTTTCGATGCAAAAAAAATCACATCAATAACAGACTCACCGGCAGGTTAATCTGTTGTAATCGGCCACAAAAATCGTGTTGCACATTTGATGAAGCATCATCGTGGATGGATTACACGGTTGAAAGTTCAATGCGTATTTTAAAACAAATTCATGGACCCGAAAGCTTTTGTATGATAGCAATTTTTCATCTTCTTCAAAATATGGGCGTAAAATGAACCAATGATTTTCGGGTGACTTCGGGAACTCTATAAACAGCTAATTAATTGAAAAAGACCAAAAGAGTTCAATGCTTTTCGTTCGGCACAACAAGAAGAAAAAAAAGCACGCACCAATAGCCTATCGATAGGTTTTAATTGGTTAATTAGTTTGATTTGTTATTTGTGAATGGATTTAATGAGTTTCTTCCTTAAATACCCCGATTCAAATGATGAATTGCCAAAAATTGTGGTCAAAATTCTAATTTATTCTCCATCGATAGCAAGTTCTCAGCATGTTCATCTAATGAGTATACAATTCACCGATTTTCGATGTTCCAAACCGTTCTTTTGTACAATTTTGAGCTCATCAAACGTGTTCCGCAGCAGATATGATCAAACATATTGTGATGATTGTAGTGTTTGGCGCTGTTCAATGTGTCGATTCGATAGCTCTTAACAATATTCGGTTCTTATTGCCTGTTTTTTTTTCTTGTTCGACAATGAAAAAAATGTTTATATCTTTTCCGTTGGTTGAATCGTAATCACTTTTTTTTTATAGATACTTCGTTTCATGAATCTGTTGATGATGAAGTTAATTTACTTCACGCCTTTTGACGATATAGACAAAGGCATCAAGTTCCGTGTTCATTAAACTAAAATTCCAGTAGCTGTACAGTATCATAACCGAGGGCAATGCCTAAGAATAATTCATAGTTTAGCCTGGTGTTCATTAGGTTGCTATTAAAGCTTGATTGAGTTTCTCTTCGAAAGACACATATACTTCGTGTGTAGCGGAGGAAAAAAAATGACAAAAGAAATCAAGTGAATTGCATGAGATGATGAATGGAAAATAGCAGCGTACGTGTCATCATTTGAAAATCGTTTCTCCACAAGGCGAAAAAAAACACAAATAGTTTCATGTTTACTGTGGCCCAGTTGATGCTGCGGCCAACATCAAAATTATTGTCTAATTCCAACAAACAAGAGAGAGGAAGAGCTAGGAAAAAAAGCGATGCCCATCCGATTGCTTGTTGTCGGTCGATTCAATGGAGTGTTTTTTTTTCTTTTCTTCTCTGAAATTTCAAAAGTAACCGAAAGAAAAGTTCTTTTGAACTTCTTTCAGCCACGTCCAAATCCATTCTAACGAATTACAATTACAAACTAGAAAAAAAAGAGTATACAATTCTCATGATAAAACATACCACGTTCAATTTCTCCATTAAAATGTTTATCTGATTTTTTGTACACATCTTGTTCGTTCGTTGCACTTGGCCTCTCCTCTATTGTGTTTCGAATCTATCGATTTTGGTTCTTTATGGTTTTTTTTTCTTCTGTATGTACTCTGCCGCCTCGTTCTTCTCGTTTAGTTTTTCGTTAAGGTCTTGGTTCTTTTCCAAAACCGAAGTAAAAAGAGTTTTCTTAGCCGTTTTTCTACTGACATTCAACCATTACATGCGGCTTTGTTTTGTGGCCGATCGTTTCAATATCTATTGTTGTTAAACGGCGTGCGGCGTACAATCACTCTTTAAATGGTTTGTTATTTCTTTCAAAAATGCGGGTTTCGACATTTGACGCTTGGCTTTTGTAATGAATTGCACGGAAATTGATATCCGTTCTGGGTCGTCGTTTATTATGTTATAACAACATTGCCATCATCATCATGTTGATATTGACTATTTATGAGAAGTTTTGTTTGTTTTTGTTTGTTTCCTTGCGCTTTTGACGGCGATTTCTCAATGTTCATTTTCTCACAGTCCCATTGATTGGTATTGTCGTTGTTGTATTGTTTTAAAATGTTATCGGCATCAAATTAACGAATGAGGTGTGGTCAAGATCACTGATTAAAATCCTTGATGGAGGATACTATCGAATGGTTCATCGATCAATATTCCATCGCGATTCTTTGTTTGGTTAACGTTGCGACGACTTTGTTGTTGATGCATATAAAACAAACACGTTTCGATTTTATCGCACTAGATTCTGAAATGTCATCACCGTCATTTTGTTTCAAGTCACTAAAACTTTATCTGCACGGAATTTCAATGACCTTAATCGGTGCAAAACCATCAATAATCAACTGCTCAAAGCCCGAAAAAAGAATGCGCAAAAACAGTCTCAAGTTGCCATCTCACAGTCTCACAGTCTCAAAAATAGCAACACAGCACCTTGATTAATTTGTATGCTATCTGCTTTTTCGGCATTTTACACACTACGATCACGCGAAGAAAGGTGAAATGTGTTTGAGATGAAATAGAAAAATCTTCGAACGTATTAATGCTCATTAAAACTCGCATTCACTTTTCCCACAGCTTATGTCTCTTAATAAACAGATTAATCGGCGTTTGAAACAGAACGATTTTAATTTGGCTGTGGTCCTCTGCACATAATTTCTGTGTTAATATGTTAGCTACTAGTTTCTACTCTTTTTTTTCTAGACACTTTTTTTTGTAAATAAGGTACCCATTAATTTTGCATGTTTTTTTCTGTCCATCTCGATCGAAGTGGAGCTCAAATGGAGTTTTCTCTGTCCCACTAATAACGCGATATATAGTTTTTAGTTACTTTGAATGTTATTGGTTTAAATCTGGTTTCAGTAGCCCGCATATAATTGGTGTGCACTAAGTGTCGATAAGGTTGTTCATCGGGGCACAAAATTGTCTGAGTGAAACAGCACAAAACACATTTGCACAACGCCAAATACATTGGCGTATCAATTAAATGCTTCGCCGTAATTTTCTCTACAAGTTATAAAAAATCATCTCACAAACATTTATCGGCACAACATAAACCCATTTATACGCTGAAATGTTTTTATTATTCCACTTTTTTTGTTCTCTCCTCTCCGGTAGAATGCTATAAAAGCGGTTTGTCGAACTGTTTTTTTTCCTTTAAATTCTCTCTTTTACACGTATGAACTTTCGATTGACTTATTTTCGATCAATAAATCGAATGAGGAGAAGAAGAGAAAAAAACTGAATGAAAGAGTGTAGCATTGGTAAAAAAACACAACATTACGATCGAACGGACCGCGAACGAATGCTTTACAAAAGAGAACACCGTAATGTTCAGGTCGACGTGCGCTTGCATGCTTGAAGTTTGATCGTCGTCGTCGTCGGTTGCAGGCGAGTGTGAGAGAAAAACAACGGAATGCGCGTAAAGGTGTTCAGCGCGTTACAGCAGCTGATGTGTGGCAGTGAGTAGAGGCAAGTTGCTGGCAACGACGACGACGATGATGATGATGATGATGATGACGACTGTTACGGCTTAATCTCCGCGAAACGCAAACACACTGGACAAGAGTGTCTCTCTCAAGAGAGCGAGAGAATAGCGGAGATACTGTCTCAGTTTGCGGCTTTGGTTTGTTTATGTTTTCACCGCGCCAAGACACACAGGTGCTCTCTCATCGGTGCAATGATAAACACACGATACTTGCGGAGAGTTAATGTGGTTTGGTATGCGACTTTGCCGTAGGTCGTGATGTTCGCTCTGTGTAGCGCAATTCCATTGGATTTTGACGAAACCGGAGAGGAAAAAGAATCTGAAAAATTCATCGTTGTTGTCGCTGTTGCGTCTTCGAACGTCGAATGGCATGTGGTGGCCCACCAATTCAAAGGCATTCGCTAATATTATCATTTAATAGAAAGTTGTTATTCGGTGTGTTTCCATGTTTTATGTCGGTAGAGAAAATATTTGACTTGATGGCTAATGCTCTGTCGATTAAACACATGTGAGCGAATAAATATGGTAGGCGCGCGCACACGCGCTGCGGTGTGCCATTACATTTGGAGGCGATTCAATTTAGCCGATTTGGCGATTTTGATAGCGGCAACGGCTCAACATGCCGATACGTTGTTGTAATACATACTGTGCATATCATTTATGCGGCCGTTAATTTCATTAAACGACGATACCAAGAAAATGCGTATTTCTTTTCTTGCTCGAGACTGGTTTTTTACACGCAATTTAGATTTTTCGATTATCTTCTTCTTCTCCGCCAGACACCGGAGACAAAATGGCATTTTTTGCAGATTTTTTTCTTCTAAAGAATTTGTGAGTGTGTATTCTATTAGGATTGTTTCTTCAAAAACAGTCAGTTGCACCGATTTGAAGTGCAGCAGCTTGCCAAAAGGCCGATTCTGCCTTTTCCTTTGTGTAACTTTCCATGAGTCGTAAACAAATTATAACCCGCTTTTATTTTATATTCGATCAAAATCGGTAATTAATCGCTCGTAAAATCTCGGTGATTTTCCAAAATAAACAAATCAGAAGCCGAAAAAAAAAACAATCCGAACGAGCGAAGTGAAGATGAAACTGATCCTCCGGTTACTTATTCGGTATGCTATCGTTGACACAATCGTTTGCGTGTTTTTACATAATGTTAACACGATTACATGTGTGGCAGATTACACCGTACGAAAATGGTCGTCATGGAAAATGGAACCGTGTGTTCGGGCAATGTTGAGAAGACCGATTGATGCAATCGAACGAGAGAGAAAAAACAACGATTTAAACATTTTGTTTTTCCATGTAAAAATTTCGAATGATGAAGATCACAATTTATTCGTCGCAGCAGCAAGCAGCTGCTGCTGTGCAGCGTAACGAATAATAATGTCGGCAGCGATTCTGTTACAATTTTTTCTGATAAAATCGGCCGCAATTCGATTTAGGGCCGTCGGCTCTGCCGATTTCACAACATCGTCATTGAACGACGGTTGTATCATTTCGCGCGCATTTCGAACAATAAAATCAAATGAACTTATGCATATTGTTGATGGCTTGCGCAAACGCGCATTATTCGTCTCGTCTCTCGCCTACATGTTTCACATGATTACATGCTCATGCCTCACGCACTCTACGTTCGAGAAATGGAAATAAATTAATAATACGTTACTCGATAATAATTTTTAATATGCCAAAATCGACACGCACAAAATTGTCGTAATTAATATCAGCCGTAAGTGGCTGACCATTTTGAGTGCGAAGACATTTCATTTATTTACATCGGTTAAATGTTATATGCGGCAACCTGTCAATTTTATTAAATCGATTTAATGAGCCGAAAAAAATGTCAAACGCTCCGAAATAGTCGCGCTCGATTCGCTTAACATGGACATAAATGCATTAAGCCAAATCACAACATGTGATTATTTGAGTGAGAGAGAGAGAGAGAGAGAGAGAGAGAGAGAAGAGAAAAATTGTCACGAAGACAAATCACTTCCTGTATGCAAGCAAATGCGGTGCACCTTTCGTTTTACATAAATTCAACATTTTTCTATGTTCTTTTGACATGAATTGGATTTTATTTGGTGTGTGTCGTGTGTGTGTTGCCACAAACAAATTACTGTTTGATGTTTCTTTCCTCTCGAATTTATTTCGCCCGCCAATTATCCAATAAAATATCAATCTTGATCGCCTCTCAAACGACGATTCGTGAGAAATACTCATATTAATGGACGCTTTTCCACCGAATGTAGACATGAAATACGACCAATGATCACACTTACCTTTGTTTCTGGTTGTGATGAAATTCGATTCGTTGGCTATCTAGTTGTTCGTTGAGTGAGAGTTCTTGAATTCGTTCAACCACCCACGTTGCTATTAAATATCCAATCTCAATAGGCCCAACAGCTACAAGAAAAAAGAGAGAAGAAAACAGAACAAAACCTGCATAAATAATGGACTTTTATTTGCATTTAGTATCTTCGTAAAATGTTCGAATATCACAAGATGAAGAAATGGCACACAAACGACTCATAGATTTATCGATTTGCGTGTTTTCCTTTTCAAAGCACGCGCGCGCGCCCATTCCGAATTGACCACATTTCTTTTTTCTATGGCAATAAATTATCGTTTTTGTACCAAAATTATAATTTAGTTGACAGGTGTTTAGTGGCTGCTTTGCTTTGTGTATCTTTCTCCACATCGCAATGCCGGGCAACATTTATTTTGGAGCCAAACGTGAGATGATTTCATCAGTTAAATCGCACGACGTTTTTCCTTTTTTTTCCTAATCACAGAAACACATACTGTTTGTATAGGTATTCAAAGTATTTGTATGGTGGCGTTAACAATATATGAAAATCTTCTTGTTGTCTATGCAATCGGGAATTTGATCGTGCATCGTAACCGTGATATCGATGAAATAATCAATTAGTAGATCTTTGTTAATATAAAAATAACGAACATTTTTTAAAAAGTAAATAAAAATACATTCGGTTCGTGTTCATCTGTTTGTTATTGTTTCAAATATTTTCGCAATCGCATGGCGTAGTCAAAGCCTGAATGTGGTGGCCCTTTGTCGTCATCGTCGTCGTACCTTTTATGTATGGGCTTCGGTCTCTTTATTATAAATAATTCATTTCGAAATCGCGTGCAGATGTAACCGATGAGCATGGGTCCGCGTGATTAGTGGAAAGCAGAACAGATTTTTTTTTCGGGCCGTTTTTATTCCGAACCGGTTAAAAATTGTGTCAACATTCGCGAAAAAAAATCAAACAAAAATACTTGTAATCTTATTTTTCTCTCCCTGTCGCTCTCTCACTCTCTTTTATTACTTCCACATTGCGAGAGGCTGGTGAAACCGCAGCGTTGATGCGTTTTCGTAATTCGAAACCAACGTGATTTATAGTCTTTGTGGTGCGGTTTAAAAACGGTAGCTACTGTACAAACACATGATGTGACGATCGATTGGCATTTGGAAATCTAAAGCATGCTTTTAAATCCAATTAGAATTCAGCTGCTAACGAGCGCAAATTCCCATTTGTTCACATATAAACGCGATTGGTGTGTGTGTGTGTGTGTGTGTGTGTGTGTGTGTGCGTTTCCACTAGCGATTTCATTTTCTCTCGTGTGGTGGGCAAGAGATTTCTTTTGAAGATTCCACAAATCCCCATTTTCAGAATTAGAACAGACATTCGAACAATGCGATGTTTACGATTGCAAAACGAAAGAGGGCTTACGAATGACACGGCTGCATTTCAAAGTAATCCGCACATTGATCCCGCCACAAAATTGGATAGACAACAGAGACGAAAAAAAGGTTTCTAACGCTCTTAAATACGAATAAATCTTCTAAATATGTAATTGGCCGTGCAACACGGCGGTAAATTCATTTCAAATGAAAGATGAAACAAACATCCAGAGTGAACGTTTCATAAAAATGACACGGACCCAGAGAAAGAGATCGAGAGCGAGAGCGAGAGAGATGGTTTTGCGGTGAGATGCAAATAAAACGGTCAATGCATAAAAAGTAATGTACATTCCTTTAAATTATGTTGATGAGCACTAAACTTTTATTACTTTCGCGTACGTACATAAGTTTTTTTTTCACTGGACGGTCAAATGCGCCTTTCGATGTGTTTTAATTTGGTTTCTTTCTCTGTGCATCGTTTTAATGTTTACAATATGCCTACATCATGCTCTGTTTTGAATATTAATTGAGACCCGCGCGTTTGCCGAGTGTTTATACCGTTTTTGTTCACTCTCTTCGCCGTTTTGTTCGTTGTTGTGTTATGAAAATGTTTATTGATATTGGAAATGTGCGCATAAAAACAAACGCAAAACGAACGTTGTTTGTCTCGTTCAAAAGAATTGGAGAAATTTTCAAAGCAACACACATGACGGCCCGACGGTGTTTTGTATTCGGGGCAAGTAATAAGTGTCTTCTATTTAGATTAGCTTACGCGGAAATCAGTGACAATAACCATTTCTAATGAATGTGTGTAACGTCGTTTCAAACTCGGCAAATAGGCCATCAATATCTCTATAATAATCTCTGTGATGAAATTTCTATTACTTCGAGCTTTTTTTTCTGTTGTACTTTTATTGCGCATCGGAGGAAATATAGAATCGTTTGAAGTTGACCGTTTTTACCACTTTCGGTCATAAATTCCGTTCAGGTTTATATGATCGAGACATCACATCAAAGTGAAGTAAGCAAAAGTTGGAAAATAGAATTTTCATCCTTATTTCTTGATTAAGTAATCAAGAGTCGTGGTGAGAAAAAAAAACAAAAACTGATTGCAATCATTCAAAAAGTGTGCATTTCAGTGATTTGCAGATGTAATTCACAAGCAATGACGTCAACTGATGTCGGTGAACAATCATTGTCGACCGTGATCGTTGCATTGAATGCACGTCTTCGGTCATTTTGCCCATTTTGTTTGTGTCGTCGTTTTAGTTTCAGTCGCACAATTCACCGAAAGAGACTTTGAGATGCAGTTACGTCGCATTTGGACAATCGATTTTATGCACACGATTGTCGTCATATTTCTCAATGGGCAAGTGCATACACACATTTCCCGTTCGCCTTCATTCAGAATGCATCAAAACAAAGAATTGCAAAGCGTGTACGTTTTCTTTTCTGCGCCAAAAATACACAGCTTGAAAGATCGATGGCCTGTCAATGCAGTCACCGAAAAAAATGAAACGTTTCAATTTCGGCCCATTTCGTCATTCCTGCACGTTTGATGGGCAGCACCCAAAAAATGTTTGGTGTATGGTTTTTCATCAACATTTATGACAATCAAAATATTGAAAACGTGGTTTAACTTGGTAATTGGTGGGTATTTCAATGCGAAAGTTCTATTATCTTTCGCCAATTCCGTCCGCTTTCATATTTTTTCCCTTTCAAACCGATCCAAAAAAAAAACGACGGCAGAAACAAAAATTCAATTTTCAATTGTGAATATGGATTGAACGTGTTTCACTTCGGGGCGAGTCAATGGTTGCATTGACAGAAATGATCTGCATAACAAATTCGCAAAAAACAAGAACCTCTGAATGGCTGCCAATAAACGACTGCTCGTCAAACAGAATTGCAGCCCATTAAAATTGCACATTTACATTTCAGAATATAAACAATTCGGTTCGAACAGAAGCCGTGTGCGCTATTTTGGATGATGCATTTGCAAAGGAATTTGCTCCGTTCAATGCACAGCCAGAACACAGTTGGCCTTTTTTGGAAGTGTGACATATGTTCTTCATTTCAATCTGTTTCAACAACTCAGGATTGATACACACAGAACAGCGCCGAAAAAAATAATTGGCGTCTGCTACACAAAAGAAGAAAACAAATTCATGCATATCAATTCGATTTTCATTTTCATACCAAAGACCCCCAGATACAATGGGCCGGTTGTCGCAATTGATATTTGCATTACAGACGCGATGTTTCTGGAAACTGATTTCGACTTTTGTAACACTTTGCCATTTGACACATTTGCCGCAGTATACAAAATCACTGTGCTCGGGCATGGAACACATTTTGGGCTCCTTACTAAAAAGTCTTTAGTCGTTTCAATGGAAATACACACATTGTTCAACGATGACAACGACTGTCGAATGTCAAGCTGGAAATTTGCGCAGTTCATCAGCTTAACGTCGCATAAAGCACTCTCGTGTTTTTATTTTCGGTGTTGGCTTTGTATTCGTCGTCGTCGCGGGGTTTGTAAATAAATTTGCATTGAACGCCGAGTAAGAGTTGCTGAATTGCAGCACTTTTGAACTGTGTGTATCCACACATTTCCAGTTTAGAATCCAGATGAATGGTGCGATTGGCGCCGCAACATTTAATATATTTAGCTTGAGCATAACATCTTTTTTTTTCTCTCCGCTTGTGCTCCATCCTTTTGTTTACACAGAAAAAAAAATTGTAATTTCAAATGTCATGCGCGCTGTTGCCTTTTTCTCTCTCTCTCTCTCTCTCTTGATGAAAAAAGATCTCAGAATGCGATAAATTTGTTTTCTCAATATTACAAATTTACTTCACGTAAATATTTTTTTTCGCCAATGCTATAAGCTTCGGGCTGTGTTTAATAAACCCGTTGCATCAGTAAACATTCTCCGACGACCGAAGTGCATCTTGTCGAACTCTCTACCGATTCAGAGCATCCGATTATATATTCACATTTTATTACGTGATGAATTTCATCCAATGAATTCGACAACCACGCAGGAGTTTCATTGAATCGAATGCAAAGTTTTACGATGAGAATTCTTCAGTTTCAAAAGCTTCGGATGAAAACTAATTTAAAATGTAGAAACACAAACATACGTGATCGATTTCACGTTAAAGTTTTTCGGTTCGAAAATGGTCTTTTTCAAAGCATTGAAATGATGTTCAAATTGATTAATAAAAGTATGGAAGCGGGTTTTTCGGTTGTTAAACTCAATACAGATCGCATCACTTCACAATTCATCGGTCGTAAATGCAAACAAATAAATAGACGTATCTATTATGGATTCGACATCGTGAGTGTATATTAGCTGTGGCGCTTGTGCCTCATCTTCGTCTGATGGACAGATGCATTTAAATAAGACCATTTGTCACACAACCAGAAAATAGAAGCCAATTTCAACACATTTCGACTGCGCGACATTCTATTTTTAGCTCTAGAGAGCTACCAATACAGCTCTGACATTTGTTTTTTTTTTTTAAATGCACCACAAAATTCTCCACATTTGAAGTATCATTTATTTGTTCGTATGATTGATTGATTGCTTGTCGTCTACCGTTATGCAACTCACTTTTCACATGCCACACTATTTTATTCATGCAATTTTTTTCCACTTTTTTTCGTTCGTCGTAGTAAACTTTAAGGATTTCACAAGCAACAAATGGTTTTGAGTTTCTTCTTCAGTCACATTGAAAAACATCTGCGTCAAGTTCAGTTCAGAGACAGACTGAGCAAAGTACATCAAGTATTTGTTTTTGTTCTTCGGAAAACGAACGTTTTTTCAGTGTTCTTGACGAAGCGAAAAAAAAGAACGTTTTGTTTAATTAATCTGTTTTGATTTGTCGAGTCTTTTACAAACCCAAATAAACGCTGAATGCGGTTCTATCCAACCGATGACAACCACACATGTTGTAAAAAAAATAATAATTACACCGATCCGAAGCGAATTGCCGACAGAAGCACGTGCTCGATAAAATGTTCTCGATTTTCAATTAATGGCTTTTTATATGCGATTGCTCAAGATTAAGCGCAGTTTGATGTTCCAAGCAAAAAGGTTAAAGCCATGAGTCGTGTGACGCTTTTTCTACCTCTACCTGGATTATACTTGTTGCTATTGATTTTTTTGTTCGTTACTGCCCCGAATGGAAAATACCGCTATATGTACACGACACAAACGCGTATACAATCGTTTCTATGACGACATTATTTCAGTTTGCTCATGTAAACAAATGCCAATCGATATTTCAAGCAAGCATTGTAAAAATATCGAAACAACAAATTGAAAATAGACAAAAAACCACACATTGTTTTGTAAACTTTTAAAGAAAAAAACAGACAACATGGAGAGCGGTGATGAATTTGAGCTGAGCGACTACTCCGAAACAATTGAAGAAGGTATTTTTGATCGATTTCTAAAGAAAATTACTTTATTTATAATTTGTGAATTTACTTTTTTTTTGTTCAAAGTGCCTGAAGTACCGGTGCTGAGTGCACAAGAAGAGATTAAGCCTAAGCCAACGTACTCTGCAAAAGAACTGGATGAATTGGTTACGGTTTTAAAGCGAATGGTGTTCCTTGATGGAATCAAAGAGGACGACTGGAATGATGATTGTGAAGAGGTGATTCAAACGTGGTTCCTCGACACAAACTACCCGATACTAATTGTATTTTACTCGGCCAAACAACGACTCACCACCAGTTTAACATATCCAATCGAACCAGTGCTTGAAATTGTGTACTTTTTACGTGAACCAGACCACATATTCTCATTGGACAATTTTCATGATGACGTCACATTCGGGAAAATTGACGATGACGTTACCGGAACGTGTTTGCTGCTTATGGAAAAACTGTACACTCCGATTTTTTTCCATAAAACCGACTGGAGCGACACGAATCGAGCACAGTTTTTAGCCGCAATCCATTCATTTTTGTCGCACATGACATCGCTTCATTACAAACTGTCGGGATTAACGTACTTGTATGTGCCGAGGGAAGGTTTGATTGACGATACAGAGAAAGCGATCAATGATAAGGAACTAATAAAACGTTTGGAGACAATTGCCGAACATTGGATTACACAGCTAAGGATTTGCTTTGGTGATTCCGAACAAATGGTCCCATATAAACTGCTGTGTCCACGCGATGAATATGAATTTTGGATTTATCGATGTAAGAGACTCGAAGCGGAAGAACAGAAAAGTTTTTTCTTTATCCAAAAGATGCAAAATTCTTATTTTTATCTTTTTGACTAGGTGAAGTACTCCTAGCTGTAAAATATCAAGTGAATCAAAAGGATTTTTTAAAAGTATTTGCCGTTTTGCGTAAATCTCAGTCAATATTCGTGCAGCCAATCGATCACCTCATTGGACTGGTGGAAAAAGAAATCGACCGTGCCCAGAACAATGTTCGATATTTAAAATTGCTCATTGAGCCATGCAGCGAAATAACTACCGCTGATTCACCGGCCGATATTCCAATGAAATTGCCCCGAATAATCAATATCATCCGCTTTATTTGGTTGAATTCCGGATATTTCAACACGGCCGACTTGATAACAAAACTCTTTCGTTATGTTGGCAATCAAGTTATCCATTTTTGTCGCAAGACCATCAATGTATCGGCTGTTTTTAGCGGTGACGCCACGAATCAGATCAAAGTGGCAAATATGTCAATCGACTGTTGCCTGTATTACAAAGTGATCTACGAGAAGATTTCCAAACAGCCAGGAAATGAAGATTGGGTGCTGAGGCATTGTATGATTTTCAATCACATTGACTCATTTATCAATCGTTTGCATGATTTCATTGAAATCTGTGGCGGGATCATAATATTCTCTCGAAAATTAGCAACGGAAAATCATCCACAATTGGAATTCGGCGGCGATCGTGGCACTGAATTCGAGGGAACCTGTGAACGTATCGAATCGACTTTCGAGAAAGGGATTGTAAAAATTAAAACCAATTCACACTGTATTTTGAACATAAATGAGAAAACCTGGTTGAAAATCATGCGAGAATTTCGTGAAATGACCTCGAATTTGGAAGAAATAATTGATAATTTGATCATGAATGTGTTTACTCGTGTCGAAAATGTTGAAGATGGAATCTATGCGTTGGCATGTTTACAGAAATTTTCAACGCGCGATAAACTCCATAAATCATTTGAACGAAAGGTATCGACGGTGTGGAATCTCTTTGCCGACGACTTATCCATTGTAAATGATCAAGTGATTGCCGATGGAAACGAGCATCTATCCTATGTACCGACGATTGCAGGTCAAACCATTCAATTTAAAGTGAATCGCATGCGTCTTATCCGCCTAAGATCGCTGTTCGAGCAAAACGAATGGTTACCGGAATCAATTGACACGGCAATGATTTTAACCAATTACAAAACGATGATTACTAAAATGGAAAGAAACACTCAAACCTATTACGACGGATGGGTTCAATCGCTTGGCGTGGATATTGCATCAAAATTAAATCGCTTGCTAGTGAAACGTAGCCTAACACATAAAGGCTTATTCGAATGTAATGTCGACGAAAGTATTTTCACAATATTTCGAGAGGCGCGTTTCTTTCAAATGCTTGGCTTCGGTTTTCCGGTGCATTTAAATCAATTTTTCAGCAGAGAACGAGCCATTCGCCAGATTTATGACAGTATTGTTGAGATGATTACATCGTATAATCGGATATTGATGTCTCTTTCGGAGACAGAACGATTATTGTTAATGCCGTTGATACAAATATCCGATAAATGCATTGCACCCGGTGCCCTTCGGCTTATTTGGGCCAACGAAGGCTTAGACGTTTACATCAGCGATTGTAACAAAAACATTCGAGATTTAAGCGATTTCATCCATATTTATCGACAAACAAATGCAAAGATTGTTTCGACCTGTGAACGTCTTTGTCAAATTGTTGCCGTTGAAATTCCAAAAGGTAAACCACGCCAGTTGGACGAGATTGAACAATTAGTTCAGACTTATTTGGATAAACAAACGAATAATATTGAATTCGAAGTTGATGCAGTGCGCAAATTGATTTTGATTATTCGAGACGAAATGGAAGATGTTGAAAGTGTAAGTATCGATTGGAGAACTGTCAATTCAATGCTAAAGTTAAATCGATTTAATTAAAATGTTGTTCAACAGATTCAAGACCTTTGGACGGATTACGTTTTTAAATTCGATAAATTAATTGAAGAAGCCTTAACGATAAGTGCTCGCGAATCGTTTCGATCGATTTTTTGCACATTAAACGGTAATGGCATTTTGGGGCCAGATCCATTGATTCATGTTGTTCTCGATGTTCAAGACGGAATGGTAAGCCAATTCATTGAGATTTTTCTTCTTCTCGTAGTTCATTTTTTCTCTTGTTCAAAAATGATTATTCAATTTTATGTCACCCAAAACAGATAACGCAGAGCCCATGTTCGACTGATGTTCGTGCCATGTTGCAAAGCATTTATGGAAAATTGTCTCAATCTCAACAGAAAATACGTCGATTGTTGAAAACCATGAAACTCACACCAACCGAACCGCTGCCCGAGTACTTCGAAGTGATATCGAATGACGCCGAGTGTTTGCGTTGGCAGTCAAAAATACGCGAAGAGATCGAACAGAATGAGTGCAAATTGAAAGAGTATGAAGAGCATTGGATGCAATTTGCGCACATTTGGCAGTCGGATAAGGCAGTCATCATAAATGAATTTGAATCGCTTGCAACGGTATCGGCATTCGCTTATGACAAACATATCCAAGATTTTATCACCTTGTCCAATCAAGTAGCCCTACGAAATGTAACGAAAAAAGTCAATTTCACGCTTGTCGATGCCACAAAACTGCGTAAAACAATACTCGTCGAAATCGAGGAGTGGAAGCGATTGTATTTGATTTCGTTGAAGACCAAAACCCAAAAGAAGATTATCGAATTTTTCACATACACCAATGAGAACGGACAAAAGGTATCGATCGCACCAAAGACGGTGGAGGAATTACAAAAATGCTGTGCGATCTATGAGCAATTGAGAAGCGAGTTGGACGATAGCAAGTGTAACTTGAACAGTTTAAGCGATCAATTTGATGTGCTACTCAAATATGGTGTGCCGATCGACGGTGAATTCGATGAAATGAAACAAAACATGTTCACGCAATGGGAAGACTATTTGAAAAAACTCAACGATGCGGATGAAGTGCTGAATAATGCAAAGGATAGCTTTAAATTGACATTGGAGAGTACGAGAAAAACACCAGACTTTTTCCAATGAACAAGCAATCAACTAATGAATACCATTCCGTACATAGAGGAGACGGGAAATTACAACGGCTCAACGAGAAAAAAAAATGACGGAAAAAAAGAACGAAGAAACGAGTAACAAATTGTATCTCTTTTGTGATTCTTAGACACAAGACACAAGTGAGACCCACCAAGGAGGTATGGGCGAGTTGAGTGCGCACTGCGCATCTCGTCAAAGGAACTTAGAAGAATATCACATGCTGTTTATCTATTGGTATTTTTATAGTTTAAAAACACTCGTTTCTATAGGGAATTCATTTCTGGAGCATTTCATTCATCGCGCACGGCGAAACCGAAGAGGTTTGTGTTCTGTTTCGTGTTTTGTACGCGTTTTCCATTTGGTTTATTCCACTTTTATTTCTTCGTCAACATAAAAACAAACGTCGTACTTTTTCTCGTTTCCTTTTTTATCCAAACGAAGTAAAAGGTATTTAATAATTTTCTTTTTCTTCCATCGTTCGTTCTCTCAGTGGCCGATTCGGTGTGCGTTGAATATCAAAAGCAGCGACTAATGCGTGTCGTACAGAATGAATTGGAATGGAATGAAAGACGAAATCAATGATCCAAGTGTTTGGACAAATGTCTAATATCATCGTCACATAAACACTCATACGTATGAGTATACGTAGGTACACGGCTTTTTAGGGGACGCTCCACTGTGATTTCATTCATCAATTTTTTTTTCATTTTCGGTGTCATCCACCTACGTTTAAACAACACGTCGTATAGGGTTAATGTTCTCACTGCGGCTTGTGTCTTCTCTTTTTACTTTTGTATCATTGTGCCGAACGCCGCCGTGCCGCATCAAGTGAGAGAAGAATTCATTGCAAGCAATTTGTATCAGTTCCAAAGCAGACTTTTAATGCCTTTTTTCCGTCGTGTGAACGAGAAAAAAATATTGTGTTTTTTTTTTATTCATTTTGGTGGAAAAATGGAAGAGCGACATTTCTTCTTTGTAGGATAAACCGAAAAAGAGACATTATGCACATAAAGAAAAAAACCATTCCTCTGTTGATAATTTCGTGGCTAAGAATGCTGTATGAACAAATGTTTTCATTTCTTTGCTTTCATTCTCGTTACGCAGCACAGTTCTTGCGCTTCGTTAGCGCATGTTTGTTTTTCGGAATGTAAATTTTTCAACCTCTAATTGAAATTTTATGGAAATTGTCGACAATTTATCTTGAAAAATGCACTGCGCTTCGAGAGACTGAGACTAAGAGAGACTAAGAGAGAGAGAGTGAATGGGAAGCGAACGAAACATTTTTTATTCATGGTTATATATGATACGCACGGAGAGACAAAGAACGATAAAGATGAGCGCATTCAAGAGCAGCGTTACACTCTTTGTGGTGAGCATTTAAGTGGTACAATACAAAATGGAGTGGTTATAAAAATGGAAATCCAGACACTGAATTCGGTTATGTTCTAACTGCAGGCGACGAATAAATGTTCTGCGTCGCATTTTAATGATGTTTTAATCATAGACTCAATCGTTTTATCCATCGAAAGGGAAAATTACTTATTTTATGTACTATGAGAAACCAAAACAACCCAAAAAAGTTGAAAAATAAAAAAAACCGAAAAACAGAAAGATCCAAAGGACTTTCCGAATGGTCAAAAAATGTTGTAATCTACCAAAATGACCTTCCTTTTTCGGCCACCCACACACACGTCTTTGGTGTAATTCGATAATAACTATGAATTAAGTAATCATAAGCGAATTGTATTTTTCCCTTAAATCTCCGAATAAAATGTGTGAATTTATCCGAAAAAAAACCTCGTAAGAATTTCGTTATTATTTGTGACTGTCAAAAAGGCGAAATAAACTGGAATTTAACGCCAAGTGGCCATTTCCATTTCAATAAACTCGTGCATAAATCGCAGAATAATTCTAGTTTCCCACCATTAGCAATGCATTGAGCTATGAAGCATTGTGTACTATTAAATCACTTGAAATTATTTAAATCGTTTCAATTGTAAATTGTGTGTCTGTGTTATTTTTTGGAATGCCATCGACTTATATTTTGACGCTGAACATGAATCACTTGGCTCCCATTGAATTATTCAATTGTTTCGATTTACTTTCGGGCTGTTAACCGTCTATTACTTGAATTTAAAATGATGAAAATTGCTTGAAAGCGTTATTTCATGCCACAATTTACTGCCATTCATGTTGATTTAAATGTACAGAACGAAAAAATTATCATTTTAATTCAGTCGGAACGACGTTGTAATTGGTTCACAATTGTTCATTACACGAGCTATAAGATTTAGCTCTCCCGTTTTCGGAAGAACTTTTTTTACGCATGGCTTTTAATAAATTCGATAAGTTGTCAGAATTTTTCTGTTGTTGTTGTTCGTGACGATCACGAATTTGGAGCATTGAAAACGAAATGAGTCGATACAGTTGATTTCGTGACGAAAATGGGAATTTCAATTTAAGTTCTGGCTTCATGAATAAAAACTCTCACAATGAATATTCTCTTTGGAAGTCACACATTGCCCTATTTAATCTTTGTGCAATGGAATGTGTTGCATATCATCAACTGCAATCGCAATAGTTTTCGTATTCCAATTCGTGTTCGATGAAATAGAATTATTCGATTCTGTTCCAGTATCGCCCCAAACGCTCATTGCGCTTCGAATGCACGCAACATATGCATCTCGTTACCACTTCAAAGTCAAACCAATTTATGGGCTCTTCGAATTAATTGGATCGTTTACAATTCGAAGGCGAATAATCATTAGTCAATTTGTTCAATTATCTAGTATGCTGATACAGTGTACACTGTACAGTGTTGCTCACATCATATGATATGCAAATGAGAGCGATAATGCAATTCGAAGAATATGAAATGGTAATTTTAACGCAATGCTTTGAACCTTATACTTCATTTGAAAGTAGAACAAAACTATCGATTGGAAAATTGAAAGAAATGTTGAATTATTGATTAGGCACACAATTGGAGCCATGCTCATGCTCAAGCCACACCGGATACTTCTAATGATTGCCATTTTGCCAATGCAGTGCTGTTACCGGGTAAACAGCGAACGACAGATGGTCGATGTATGCACAATAGTAAATATGTAAACAGATGTGCATGACCTCGACGGTCATTTGATATTTGTCGCGCGCGTATACAACTAGTCAAACACTTTTATTTAGCGTTCGGAACCCCTTTCTCGGTTACAAACACGTTTTTTTTCATGCGGCCAAACAAATTTTAGGCTATTTACATAATAACAACAGCATCAAATTACAGTTCTGTACACTTCCTTCCTAGGTGAGAGATTTATTGCGGCGTGAAACGACCGAGCGAACATCATAAAATATTCTGAGAACTCTTTGTGGGACGGTTTCTTTGCTTCTAAATTTGACGGCTTCCGAAACGATTCTTTTATGCGCCTTAATTTATTCTACCTTTATTAATTACCTGTATGGATTTTACAAACGAATGCTGGAGGTTTCGAAGCAGGCACAGCGAAAAAAAATTGACAAACTTGGGCCTCAAACTCAATTACATAACATAGATTTTAGAAATTTAAAAGGTTATCTGATTTTATTTTACTCAAAGTAAACACTGATTCGTTACGTTGATAACGTGAATGTTACACAATTTTCGATTTGATGCAAATTTCAGCCTACAATTTCAACCAACAGTCATCAGTTCATTTCAATAGAAAAAAAATCGAGGGAAACTTGAATGAATGTGTAATTTTATCTCTCCCTCAGTAAATTTTTAATATTTCTGGTTTGTTTTCGAAGCTCTACGCAATTATCAATCTTCACAACTTTAACGCAAAAAACACAAACAAATTACGTGGTTCGCACTGTCATTGAGATCACTTTGTTTTCAATTGATGCAAGTTCAAGCGAATGATATCGTTTAAAGTTTTACTGGTGTTCTTTACTCGTTTCGGAGATACGATGCATTGATAACGATGTATCCCTTATGCAAAGTAATAAAGAGACTGAGTCAGTAAGTATGATTGTAGTTTACTTACTTATTTATTCATTTATGGCAAATTTAGTTGTCTAAAGTCGATTGAATTTTTGGATTCTAATGAAGTGAGTCAATTTGTTCAAATTCAAGCGGAATCGTGAATTCAGTTTACTAAGATGGGTATACAATACATTGTACTGTGTCGCCAGTCAAAGTAGGCATTTTCGTCCAATTAGAATCAACTGACTACCCAGTTGCAATATTTGCACACGGGTTTTCATCCAGTCTCATAAGTATATGTGATGATAATTGCAATGTGTGTTGCAATTTTCTAACAGATACCGTGTGTTTGTCATAGGATAATAAAAGCATTTAGAATCAAAGCCGTTAGTTTAGTTGCACTTGATATTTTGGGTAAGTGCAATAACTTAGCACGAGAAAAAATGATACAAATTTCTGACAGAAAATGTTTCTTGCTTGAACAATAAGAAGAGAGTTGACAATGACAGAGAAAATATATCCAATGAAATGGAAACGACCGAATTCAGTCGAGTATCCAAGGGTTTGGCATCGTTTTAAAGCTCGTGATTTGGATAGTGACCAGTTGGTTGAGTATCGGATTGAGGATTTACTAGAGTTGAGAGCCTTCAAACACATGAGAGAAAATTATCTGGCGGATGAGCCAATCAGTCGGGCATTGGGTGGCTACGATGATATTGATCATTTTAAAGATTATTTGTTTGTTTGGAAATCGATATTAGCACAAAAAATGCCGTTAGAGAGGGTTCCGATGAAATTGTTGGCTTGAATTGGATTTATGTTAAGCATAAAGATGATAATTTAACTGTCCCAGTGAGTTTGTGACGCAAACATATTTATATCATTTTTGATAAATTTTCAAATCTATATCGATCCATTACAGACCAAAAGTGCAGTGACCAAAATCTTCCTGGAAATGAGTATGTTTTTGTCCGAGAAATTTAATTGTTTTAAACATTATGGTGTCGATGAGTATTTGACTTGTAAGGGACTATCTGTTGATAAAAAGTATCGAGGTCGTAGCATCGGTGATCATTTCATGGACACAAGGTAAAATAAATTGTGAATTAAACGAGAATAACCAAACATAAACTCATTTTTAATTTTTCGCTTTCAAGAAAGTTGGTTTGTAAGGAATTCGGATTGAAATTGGCGCTATCAACCTACATTTCAGATTTTTCTAGTCGAAACGCTGCAAATGCTGGATACAATAATAAATAATATTTCATTATTGCACCGCAAAGCGGTTGAAGATTTAAAATGTAACGTTTAATTTTAGCTATGATGAAGTCATGAAAATCCGACCAGAATACAATTTATCGAACGCGAAAAGCACTGAAATGACCGTGAAAACATTTCTTTATTAGGACACAACACTATTAATGCAATAAAAATGCACACAAGCTCATGTCATCTATAATGAAGCTAGTTGAAACGACTCTATATTCTTTTCATCATTTAAATTCTCAATGCTTGTGTCAAGTGTGAACCACTTGACCGAATTTGATTTTTGTTCTATATTATTGTGATCTTGATTTGCTGTTTACAACAAACGGTTGGTATTATTTTAATCGACTTAATCTATTCTGTATGCATCTCTTATGTATACCGGTTCACGCTATCACAATCTTTACTATTTGACACATGCATTGAAATGTGGCGCATGCCGCAAAATAAAATGTGGCGATACGATAAGTTAGTTTGGTATTTGCTTGTGATAAAGAGTGATTGAAACTTTTGAGAGTGATTGAAACTATAAGTGAAACAAATAATGGCGGTAGAAACAATTGCACTGAAATGGAAACGGCCGGATTCAGTCAAATATCCAAAAGTTTAGCATCGTTTCAAAGCCCGCGATTTGAATAGTGAAAAATTGGTAGAGAATCGTATTGAAGATTTACTGGAAACAAAAACAGAGGATGCTTTCAAATACATGCGGGAAAATTATTCGATGAATGAACCAGTTAGTCAAGCATTGCGTATGTTAATAGTGACACTTTTCTGATTGTATTTTAGCGCATGCTTGGAAAGCGATTATTGCGCAGGAAATGCCATTAGTTTGTTATAAAGAAGGTTCCGATGAAATCATCGGTGTAAATCGGAATTTTGTTGCCCATAAAGATGATCATTTCGTGCAAAAGTGTTATGCTCAACTGAGTTTGTGGCGTGATCTTTTGTAGCTTTCAATTGTTAGCTTTTCGATCGTTATTCTGTTATTCATATCAATCAGTTTATTACAGGGCAATAGCCCAGTAACCAAACACTTATTTGGAATGGCTTTATTTTTGTACGAGAATTTCGATTGTTGTAAACATTATGGTGTTGATGAGTATTTGACATCTTGTGGATTGTCTGTAAATAAAAAGTATCGAGGGCGTAATATCAGCGATCATTTTATGGCCACACGGTAACAATGTTATGGGTTAGATGAACAATATTCCGTGTTAATTTCTTTTAATTTTCTAACGTTTTTCTTCAGGAAATTGGTTTGCAAGGAATTCGGATTGAAACTAACGCATACGATGTATTCTTCGGATTATTCTAGTCGAAGCGCAGAGATTGTTGGATTCAAAACTGATATTTCTATCAGGTATTGAAATACAATAGATTCTGCAAATTGGAGCGAGCAATTTAAAGTGAAACTTTTCATTACAGCTATGATGAATTCATAAAAACTCATGCGGAATATAAATTATCGAATGTAAAGAGCGATGAAATGAGCTTGAAATCACTGGTTCATTGAAATCATTGGTTTGGTATTGAATCAAGTGTAAAATTTATTTATGCGAATTGTGAATTTGAACAATTTAGTTTTTATCATATTATGACTGTCTTTTTCCCACAAAAAAAGAGGTGAAGAGAAATTTACAAGAGGTGAATAGATATAAATCGCCTTAGTTTATTCTATATCCATCTTTAACCTTGTTCACTCATGAGGACGGTTGGTATAATTTACAGCTCAGGTACAATTGTTACCATTCCTCTTCTTCTTTCAATACCACCAAAGCAGCATAAATACAGGCGATTGTATACCTATTATTAAATGAATTTTAGTTCAATATTCTTGAAACTTGATTGTAGCTGTTTGTAGATGTTTTTGAAACAAAACAATCTAATCACGAATGAATCCAATCGCATTTCGTTATGTCATTCCACCAATCTTGAGAGTTCAGAACGTTTCATTGTCAAACTGTATAAAAAGGGTGACCTTGAGATAAAATTTAAAATTAACCAATACATATGAAATGTAGAAGAATAAGAGTAAACATTATCTTTGATTGTATGAAGCTGTTTATCTGCAAACCCATTAACCCAGTGACATTCAATACGTGTGATGAAAAATAAAATCGATACAGGTGTATGTTCAAAAGTGACTTAAATTTTTAGTTCAATTTTCAACTTCAATAAAACAGGTTCTATGTAGAAAAGCATAAAAAATGTCAGTTGTTTGTTCAGAAATTACAGACTCGGTTCTGCTTGAAAAGGTGGCTTTATACGGTGCAAAAAGGTTTGTTTATGCAAACATCGATGCAAAAACAAGAGCTGAACTTCCATTCCCAAGTGATTATGAGTTTTTACCGTGTTTCCTACCAAAAAAGTATGAAAAACTTTCAAACCGAATACAAAACTTTAAAGTGCGTCCGAATGACATTTGGGTAGTGAGTTTTCCGAAGGCGGGAACCACATGGATTTATAACATAGTGCATCAAATGAGGAATAATCTGGATTTTTCGGCAAACTTCGTTCCAACGCTGTATGGGTACTTTGAGCGGGCAATTCTTTTTGAAAACCAGAACAACGACGATGATTTTGAATGTTTCATAAATGAAGTGCATAAAGACATGGATAATTTTGATGAAGACATATCGCCTCGAGTGATTAAATCCCATTTGCCTGCCCATTTGTTGCCGCAAGAAGTTTGGACAGTCAAACCGAAAATAATTTACGTGCACCGAAATGCAAAAGATGTGTCCATTTCGATGTATCACATGTTTCGAAACCATAAATACATTCGATTGGGTGGATCGATCGAGGAACATTTCGAGAATTTCTTGAATGGTCATGTGACTTATAGTTCATACCATGCTCATGTAAACAGTTTCTTGCAGTTGCAACAAATGGAAAACTTTCTTTTGATTAAGTACGAGGATATGGCCGATTCAATCGATGGAATAAAAAAGATAAATGATTTTTTAGACTATTCGTACAGTGATAATCAGTTGATTCAACTGGCTGAACATTGTTCTTTCGACAATATGCGCAAAAAACAACGTTTTAACACCAGCTTTTTTCCAAAGTAATTGAGAATCGTTTTGTCAATGATTGGGATTCCATCAACTTACCTTACTTTACAATATTCGTTTCAGCTTTTTTCGCAAGGGTAAGGCCGGTGGATATCAGGATGAAATGAGCCCAGAGTATATTGAGCGATTTGATCAGTGGAAAGTGTGAAATGTATCGAATTTACTTTTGGCAGTTCAAATGTAACTCACTCTTTCAACAACAACGTTGAATTTCTTTTCCTTCTTAGTGACTTGTGTAGTTTTGAAATGATTCAAAAATAAAAATGTAAAATAATAAATAAACACACAGAACATCATTGAATCAAACCAAACATTATTTACTATCTTCACAAACATGGACCACCAGAATTTTATCAAAGGTGGAAAATTGCTGTAAAAACATCAACTCGTTCAAACAGTTTAGTTCGAATCAAACTAAATTGACATCGAGAATAACATCATAAATTGTTTCTAAGCCTTTTGAATAAACATTCCCTTTGATATCATCTTTAATATAACTTTGACTGTGAGCCTCAGCGTGGAAACAAATACAAAGCATGTGTATTGCATTTCTTTTTGCATACGTGACTTGATTTAGACGAAACAATAAATAGTTACTGACCTCACTCACATTGAATCATGTTATCATTTCGCGAAATAGAGCTAATATCATACTATTGTTCTTCACTTTAAGAGAAAAATGTAAAAAAAAAATTCTTATCAGATCGAGTAATGCATTGATGTCATAATTTCAAACAACGCGGCTTGCTATTGCATCCAATAATATTTTGCAATCAAACAAACAGTTTCTTAATTGATCCTAATTGTTGCAAGTCGAACTGACCTATTTAATTCTGCTGATAATTTTTAAGCATGCATTTATAAATCCATTGCATCTGTTATCAAATTGTAGATAATCAACGAGATTCTATATAAACTTGGAAACTAATCGGTTATTTTTACTTTTCACTTAAATATCGGTGTGATATAAAAGTTCTCCTTAGATATCGCGTTAGTTGGTTATTCAGTTGATTGAAAGTAATTTGATTCTTTCTTTCTTTCGTTCAAAACGATTTACTCAAGAAATTTGTTGTATTCATGGATTTCGAATTAAAAGTTTCAATTTACTTCAAGACCAGAAGTTCAAGTCAATAATAAAAATCAACTTTATACATTCAACTTTTTATATATACCTTCATCACAGACTATCACAGTCATGTGACATCACATGTTATAAATGTTTGCAGTGAAATGATTAGTTTTAATAGGTCATCTCAGATTAATCTTTTAACGTTCAAAGATTCGCAATCCCAGTTTGATGATATGCCATTCTGAAGTAATTTAAAATGTGCAACATTGCATTAATAAATGTCATTGAGCAATTGTTTCGAAATATGTGGTTGTCATGCGAGCATCTTTCAGTTTATCATTTTTTCTTAATTGATTGCACAACTTGCACGGAACAACATGGAGATTTTATAAATTCTACGATTTCTTGGAGTTTTGTTCAGTCTTTTATGAAGTGTTGATGTGATTGTTTTGATAAATTTTCTTTTTTTGTTCTTTTATTGTGGAGACCATGTCAGATTTGGCGTTTATATGGAAGCGTCCAAACACGATTGCATTTCCAAAAGTTTGGCACACATTCCAAGCACGAGATTTGGACAGTGATGAATTGATTGAGTATCGAATCCAAGATTTACCTTTGGATCGGTTTGACGAGGCTTTGGAACACATGAATGCCAATTACAATCAGGACGAACCAATAGCCCAAGTGCTCGGTAATGATCTTTTGAGTGTATTGGATAAACAACAGGTTTGAAGCAAACATTTTTTAAAAGATGGTGGCAAACAAACGGAGCATCTGGAAGACTATAAATTGGCATGGCGACCGATGGCTGAACAAAAAGTGCCACTTGTTTGTTTCAAAGAAGGCTCAGATGAAATCGTTGGCATCAACATGCTTTTCGTAATAAACAAAGACGATCATTTCATGGAGAAGATTTATGGACACGTGAGTTATTCGCTTTTCGTGTGGATTCCAGTTTTTTTTCATCGTGAAGTATTTTATTTTTAGTTCAAGAGCCAAGTGACGAAAGACATATTCGATTTGATGATGATACTTTACGAGAACTTCGATCCATTCCAACATTATGGGGTCGATGAGTACTTGTCATCGTTTGGCCTTTCAGTTAGTCGGAAATACAGGGGACGAAGCATTGGAGACCATTTCCTTGCAACCAGGTTGAATTTATGTATATTTTTGATGGAAATATTAAGTTGTGGATAAAAAAAATCCACGATATCATTTCAAATAAATTGTTTTATGATTATTTCTTTAGAAAGAATCTTTGCAATGAATTCGCATTGAAATTGACTCACACATTCTTCACGTCTGACTTTTCCAATCATAATGCTGACAAGGCTGGTTTCGAAACGAACGTTGCCATCAAGTAATTTCGTAAGGAGATGTATTGAGGGTGTATTACTCAATGTGTTTTTGTTTTGTTCTAGGTATGAAGATGTCATAAAAACCCACCCCAGATTTAATCATATCAAAAACATCAAAAGTAAGGCAATGACTCTGAAAACAATGGTGTGCTAAAGTTCAAGCGAATGCAATTCAATAGTATTCATTGAATCTATATGTAACGGAATCCTTGGGACCACGTGCAAATATTTCATATTGTCAAATTTTCTCAATAAATTCATTTGAATCAATTCAACAACTTTACGGATTTGATTTTAAAATCAGGTACTAAATAGTGTTTAACTGCATTTGACTAATCAAACCATAGTTACAGTTGGAATTGTTATGACAAGTTAATTTAAAAGCAAGTTAAAACTTAAAGGTAATTATTTATTGAAAGAAGTCGAATTCGTTCGGTGTTGCATTCAACAAATCACATTGCAAAATCATGAGTTTTCAATTTGTAAGCTTGAAGTTTGATATGGAAACGTTCTGAATCGTTCCGATTTACAGAAGTTTGGCATATTTTCAAAGCAGAAAATATGTGATGAGTTGGTGGAATATCGCGTCCATAATAATTTACCCGAATCGCTTCTTCTGTGAAGCTTGAATCTAGATGCACGACTTTGTTTTGTAATCAAAAGGTGTCAAAAAGAGGCAAAAAAGATCATCACAAATATTGACGGTCCCTTGCTTAGCCATGGTTGCGTTTTTATTGAGTTATACACATTTACAAACTTTGTATCGTTAAAGATTGTAGATGCACACACCTTGTGTTTACATTGTCAAACATTACCGTCAAAATGTGTGGCGCTGTTCGTTTGACATGTACTCATTGGGACCCGACGTACATATATGTCATACACTCGAAACATTAACTGCATTCACAACACATTATCTGGCTCAGTCTCTGTTGGTGAAGCGTACAAACAACACCGAACACATTTTTATACTTTTGTTCAAAATAATCTCTGCATTTGTGATAAGCATAATACTTGAACGTTTTCATTGGACCTCAAACTGTGCATAATAACAAAGTGCTCCAAAAATTTACAAAAAATCATGACCGAAAAATTGGAATTAATTTGGAATCGTCCTGAGTCTTCGGAGTATCCGAAAGTATGGTGCACATTCAAAGCAAGTGACATAAATACTGATGCAGTTGTTGAATATCGTATTCAAGATTTGCCCGAGTCACGAATTCAAGATGGAATCGACTTTATGGCTCAGCATTTTTGTAGCGATGAACCGATATGTGAAGCACTCGGTAAGAAATTTTCGATTAATTTTGATCAACATTTTACTTGAAAAATCCATTCATTTCCAGAGGTTTCCAAAGATATTGATGCAATTGAGGACTTCAAACTATTATGGAAACTAATATTCAAGCAAAAAATGGTATTGGCTTGTTTCAAAAGCGGATCCGATCAAATCGTTGGCATGAACGCAACTTTTGTGAAGTGCAAGGACGATCATTTCATGGAAGTGCTCTATACACAAGTAAATTAACGTCGTTATTTTGGATTAACCTTTGAAATTGGCTTCCAATACGTTAAAATAATCCAATTCAATTACACTTTTTCCACATTTTTCAGATAAAAAGTGAAAAAATCCGACAATATGCTGAAATGATGTTTTTGTTACGGGAAAACTTCAACATATTCGAAGTATATGAGTTGGACAAGCATCTTAGCTGTATTGGGCTTGTTATCGATAGAACATATCGCCGCCGAGGCATTGCTGAACAGTTTCTTCGTTGCAGAGAGGCGATTTGCAGGGAATTTGGAATAAGAATGACATCAACCGTTTTCACAGCTGATTCTTCAAACAGAATCGCAGACAAAGTTCGGTTTAAAATGGACAAAATTATTAGGTAAAGTAAAATCTTATTCAATTTTTTCATTCTACTCTGTTTAATTCTGAAATTATTTCCAGATATAAAGATCTCTGTAACGCACATCCTCTGATCAATTCGTTGAAAGAAAATATTAAAAGCGATGCCATGACTATTAAATCAATTGTTTTTTGAAGAACTATCTTGTTTCGTTCACTTTCAAATTCACAGAGTAGAATTTAACGGCAAAATAAAAATATTTTAAAAACAAAATTCGTTTTTGTTTTGATTTTACAATAAACTTGAAGTGCTACTCAACCGAGACAATATTTTGTTTATTATGCAAGCTATTTTAGGTTATATATGCTTAAATTTTGAGTCAAAAGTTTCATCTTTCAGGAATTTGGAATGAAAGTGGAGATAAGAATGGTTTATCACAATAAATGACAGTCCCCTTGCTATGGTATGCCATAATTTTGTTTGTATTGCACTGATTTTGTGTAAATCGATATTTTGCAATTGGAAAAAATTGAAAATAAACCTCAACTTTCTTCAGGTAAAAAGTGAAACCATTCGAAGGTGTGCTGAATTGTTCTTATTATTATTTGGAGATATTGACATATTCAAACTATATGGCTTTGATAAGCATCTTAGTTCCATTGGGCTCGATGTTGAAAAAACGCATCGCCGTCTAGGCATCGGTGAACAGTTTCTTCGTTGCCGAGAGGCGATTTGCAAAGAATTCGGGATAAAAATGACATCAACCGTGTTTACATCTGATTCTGCAAATAGAATTGCAGACAAAGTTGGTTTTAAATTGGACAAAATTGTTAGGTACCTCGAAAGCTATTCAATTTTTATTTATAAGACAGTTTTTTCCAAATTCGATTTATTTCCAGATATGAAGATCTTCGCAATGAAGTAGTCGCTTCGCCAAAAATTAATTTGCCATAATTTAAAAGCGAAGCAATGGCCCTTAAATCAATGGTATTTGAGGAATGAAATTAGATTCAAGAAGCGATAAAATTGAATTTGATTATGATATTGAAACTATTTTTTGAGAATACTCCTTTTCGTTATCTTTCTTCGACCTTAGTAACCTTGAAATGGAATTCAACCGAAACACTTTTTCGTTTATTCGGCAAAGGGGAATAATATTTACTTAAAGCCGATAAGAACAAGCACACACAATGCACAGCGCACAAATATTTATTCAATAGCAGCAGACATTTTACTGACACATAGAACCGTGTCTTTTCAACAGCAAATTGTTCAAATTATGAAATAGCTCAGTCATATAGAGTAATTTAATTAAAAGTTTGAACAATCATTAATAACTTCTGTTAATTTGAGGTTGAAAGAAAGATGCAAAAACTGTGTCGTCACATACTCTCACAAACTCTTTTAAAACTTGAGCAACAAATTAAAACTATGACTTTAAATCCTTTGAGTTTGATTTTTCCAGTTGAAAACAATGGACACGTGAAAACCAGAGAAGCCATTCAAATGCTTCACTTGATTGAAAATACACATGTCGATATTTTAGCGGTCAAGTGGAAATATTAATAAAGGGTCGTCATATATCATGCAAGCTATTTTTAACGGTACGGTCGTTTACCTTCGATGCGAATAGGCCATAGGGTTTCTATAGTTATGTCTATAATCTATAGGTAGGAAAATATGTAGTAACTTTGCTATTTTTTGTTTTCACTCATTCATTCTCTCTCCAATTTCTCCAGATTTTATTTCTCAGATTTTTTTTTTGCCAAATATTATTCCTGGGTACCATTCATTCAATGTGGGAATGATATTTCATAAATTTGACTGGAGTCATATAATCAGGAGGTTTGCCGATAGTTAAATTTAATCTAATTAATACGCTCAGAAGATACTGTGTTTTCCTTTGAATTGATTTTTATCGCTTCGTTTTGTTTTCATACTATTTTTTAAAGCACTTCCACGTACCACACGAAATGTTGGCATTGTTATCACAAATTGATAACATCCAAAACAGTTTATTTAGAGATTTCACCGTTTAAAAATAGAGCCGTCCACAGAGGAATGTCAGTAGTTTCGAAGCAAGCAATAACGTCGAAGCTAAAAAAAGTTGACAAAACCTTATAATCAACGAACAAACCATGAGTAAAATAGTCGAATCAGAGTGGAAACGTCCCGAATCATCGGAATTCCCAAGAATATGGCATACTTTCAAGGCCAGAGACATCGACACTGACAATTTAGTGGAATATCGCATTCAGGATTTGCCTGAATCAAGGTTTGACGAGGCTTTACAAATGATGTCCACTGCTTTTTGTAAAGATGAACCAATATTAGAAGCATATGGTGCGTTGAATATCTATTGTTTTTCGAACATTTATCAATATCAGTGGAATTTTATAGGTATGTCCAATGATCCTGTAGCTGTTGAAGACTTTGGAACGATGTGGAAATTTATAATACAACAAAAATCCACCTTGGTGTGCTTCAAGGAAGGATCAGATGACATGATTGGTGTGAATTTAAACCTTGTTTCCAGCAAAAATGATCATTTCCTGGAGGAAATTAACAAACAAGTAATTCGAAGTTCGAATGATACAAGTGTTCATATGTTACTGTGCCCTTATATAACAATTTGGTTTTCGTTTGCAGAATCAGAGTGTCAACAGCAAACTTTTAATTGACATCTTAGGTTTGATGTACAAAGACTTTGATACATATGAGCATTATGACGTTGATGAATATTTGACTTCGTTTGGCCTTGTGGTCGATAGAAAATACCGTGACCGTCGCATCGGAGAGCAATTTCTTCGTAGCAGAAAGCCATTTTGTGAGGCGTTTGGCATCAAGCTTACATCAACCATTTTTACGTCCAATTTTTCGAACAAAATTGCTGATAATGTTGGATTTAAACTCGATCGAGTTCTAAGGTTAAAATTGGAGATTTACAAAAGCCAACATTTTTCATAATTGCTAAAATTTATTCGGTTTTTGTTGTAGTTACGCTGATATTCGCAACGATTATCCCGAATTCAATTTGCCACCTATAAACAGCGACTTATTGACTCTGAAGACACTCGTGTTTTAATTGATATATAATCCGTAACAATTGACCAATAATAAACATATGAAGATATGAACAATTCTTTCAAATTGCTATGTCATTGCGAAATTCACAATGTCAAAATTGTGTCATGAATAAATGATTTAATCCATAATTGTTGACATGTAAAAATGGATTACTTTTATCTGATTGCCATTTTAAAGGCGTTCTGAGAAGGCCCACACTGTTTGTCACTGTTTGTTCCGTGTAGATATGGACAATGTCGTACATCAGCGATACGAATGATACAAACGAGACTCGCGAAAGAGCAACTATTAGCTAATTCTTGTGATCGTTCTTGTGGGTGCAATGCAAATGAATTTCACATTTACCACACTCTCCGGCATGGTCTCAACAGAAACTCAGCTCTTCGTTAAAATCCTACGTAAATATCTTGAATGTTATTGTCCTTTATTTATTCGGAAATGTCATCTAAACTCAACCTTTTAAGCTGCTAAATAAAGTGCCACTTTTATTCAAGAATTTATGATAAATGCATCAAGATAAAAAGCGAAACTGAAGAAGCATCAAAAACGCTTCAAGTGTGAAGCATCGAAGAGGTGGTCCCTTGAATAATGTATATTTCAATTTACAATGAAAGCAAATTCCAACACCGATAAATTCTCGCACTTTAAAAAAGCACTAATTTGATTGAGTTGGAGCGCAGTGACATTGTCTACGCTACAATTCACAGTAGTCGATTTAATCTTGTAATCAGACGCCTTACAACTACGACGCATAACATGTTTCGCATCCAATTTCATATCGTAGCACAAAAATTGACGTAATACATTAATGGTGTGATGTATTACACAGTACTCGCGCTGTTTGAGTGCGAAGCACATTCAAACAACCGTGCAATTTGAATGATTAAGAGTCTAGTGCAATCAAAACAAGTGAATGATTGTGAACGGCTGTGTTGAGCGGAGCGTACCGTTGAAACATAAACATTTTCATTCATTCATTTCATCGAATCATTTCGTAAATATATATCAGAGAGAAATGTTCATACGACTCGGAATGCTACTGGCACTCACTTCTGGGTGCGAATACGAAAGGGAAAGAGTTTGGCTCATTGCGACTTGGACATGATTTGGGAGAAGAAAAAAAATTCGTTTCATGAAGATTTCCGCCGTTCGTGTAGTAATTCCTTTTTTCTACAATCGCACGCTTGAATTATATTCGCTTACATCATAATCATAACTCAGGAAGAAAAACGTGGTTTAAATAGAAAAGAAAATGAAAAATTCTTGGGCGTTTCGCGGTTTTGTCTATCTTCTGCAGAAATTTAATCAATTCGAGCTGCTTTTTCATGCAACGCACACAGCGCAAAGAGTAAAAGTTCAGATGATTTCTGTTCCATCGACACTTTAGGGCGTTATGGTGATGCATTATTTTTTTCTCTGTGTTGCGCAACATTTCAAAATGTGAATACCAATTTCCCGTGCACCAACAACGACAATGACGAGAACACACACATTTTTTCCCCCAGTTTGTATTGCGGTTCTATGGAACAAAAGAACGAATAATGAAAAATCCATAGTTCTTGCGTTTTTTTTTCGTTTGCCACTAGTAAAACGACTGCGATGAGTTTGCTGCATTTTTTGTACCGCACACACAAAGTTCAATGTTATTTGCTGCACGGAACCACATCGTCGTCGAATGTTGAAAGAGTTCAAGAACACCGTCTTAAAAATACATGTACACACCGACCGTCCGACCATTTATTGAAATTGTACAGAAAAAACACAACGAGACCAAAAACGAGGTACTTTCTGCTCGTCCCGATTGTGAATATAAGAAAAATTGCACATGCGCAATTGCAACGCGAGAGAGAAAATATAATCAACCCACGACCAAACATAACATCTACGTATTATAGCCACTCTTCACACGGAACAACATTCGTATTTATATATGTGTTTTTTTTTTCATTCGTTCGTTCTATTCTTTCATCGTTCTTTGTCCTAGCACCGAGATTTATTGTTTGACTTTGAAAATTTATACATTTCTTCATTTACCACACATTTTTCGATTGCAAACACATTGTTCCAATTCGATTAGAACAACTGGAATCGTTTATAGAACTAATGACCAAACAAATGGACCATTTGTGAATTATTTTCAATATTTCCGTGTTATTATTAATTGATGCCCTCACTACGAAATGCTTACGGATTCTAATCAATTACAGAAAATGGCACATACGTTTTATTCCAAGTTGTAATCCCATGTAAATGTCGCCGCTACAGAATTGTTGACGTTTGAAACCGAGTAGACAGAGAAAAACACCAATTTGACAACACAATTACAAGTCACAATTGTCGAAGTTTACGTTGATTTTCAGTCAAAAAATCAATTCCAATTAAACTAATCCACAAAAATATAAACACGTCCAAATGACAACAAAAATATACACAATTTTTCAAGTTTCACATGAGAGAAACCAAGTTGATGGTTCACGCAGAACCGGCAAATGCAATGCTCAAATATAGAATCTTCTTATTATTCTTCTTCAGTACACAATCACAACACTATAAACACGAATTCCGTTATATTTTTCGGAATATTCCGATTTTTATTCTCTTTGCATCCAAAAATCCCGATAATTGAAAAATGAATGAAGTGACAAATTGTGTCATTCAATTGAATTTTCGACGTCGCGACGCTTATTCACATTCTAGATCATCATCATCCGTAGGATATGAGTCGTAATCACGCAACTGTTGGGAGAAAACTAAGGCAGACACACCGAGTGTATGTATCATACACTGTGGTACAACAACAGCAGAGAAGAGAAAAAAAACACACGGAGAATAGTGAAAACATCGAACCGAATACGAATAACAGACCGAGAGCCATACATAAAACTCAATAGATTTGCGTGCCCGTAGAGAGTAGCGCGCGCGATACCAAGTGTGCTGCTTGAGTATTGTACACACAAACCGAATAAATGATCTAATGGCAGAGAGGAAAAAAGGCATATTTTTCGTAAACAGATGAGAATATATTGGAATAGTATGGAGCGAAGCAAAAAGGGCGAAAGTGAAGCGAAACAAAACACACATACATAAATACACGCGCGTATACAGAAAGCGGCAGCGACAACCACAGCAACAGCAACGACGCATTTCTTCTATTGCTCTCTTTTCCACCATATCCTCTGCATGCTATTCATTTCACTTCAACGTACGGCCACAGTGCACGAGTGTGAATGATGCCGATTATTGGGATCCTATTAAAATGTCAACGCTGTTATGGGCTGCAGCGGTTGAACTACGACAACGACAACGACAACAATGACGACGGCAGCCGTTGTGCATTTTTTGGAAGCGAATGTATGGGATTGGAGAATACGGTGAAAGAGAAAGAGCAAGAGAGAGAGAGAGAGAGAGAGAGAGAGAGAGAGAGACCGTAAATGAAGAAGAATGATGCAAAAATTTAAAAATAAATTCGGTAAGTTGGAAGTTCGCGTGTGCCCACAACATGCTGAACATGAAATTAGGCCTCGTTTTTTTTAAATTGGTTCTACACATCCGATGCATGCGTTCGAATAAATTGACTGTGAATGCATGTTTGCTATTAATATACAGATTTGATTTTTTGTTTCTAGTTGGAAACAAAGCGCATACAACAAAAACTGACTTGCTGCTATTTATAACATTCACTTTCTCCGCTTCGGAATGCCGGATTACACTTTCTGATGCGAGAGAAAATTATGCATATTTTTTGGCAATATTAGGCGACGACAGCTGGAAATGCCCGAATAAATGCTCAATTAAAGCAAATATGGTCCGATTGGTCAATGAAACCAAAAAGCAGATGTTTAATTTCGCTTGCATTAATTCACCACCACGCATTTCATTCTTTTCTCAGCTGCATTTCACCATATAGTCGTTCAGTTTGCATTGTCAGTGTTCTGTATGGAATTTGATCATTTAATTTAGATTATTCGGTCATTTACAGCATTTCACACTGTTCATTCTTCGTTATCTAACGGTACATCTGAAGTGCATATGAATTTGCCGCTGTAGATTTCAGCTGAAGATTGCATTTCGAAGTCAATACGAAACAACCATATGTTCCGTACATGTATGTTTGTCTCACTTTTTGAGTTAAATCGCACATGTTTTCGTATGATTTGTTTAGAAAGAGACACATGTATTGTGCACGTCTGCTTTCATAGTACACCGAACATATGGTAACAATTTCCTGAGTACGATATTTTTGAAGTGCAATAAATATTTCAACGGACGAATAATTAAGTGGATGGAAATGGCAAAAAGACTTTGAAACTATTTGAATAAACCAACTGATATCCTCAACTGCCTTGTGTTTACCGAGAAAAAAAATCCCCTTGAATACATCGGTGCTGCTACAATGTGTGTGCATACTGTTTTCTCTTTTCCACCTCTCTCTGTTCATAGCTGTCAAATCGATACTACAGATTCGGCGCACTGGCGACTCCGCGTTTGAATGAGCCCAACATGATTTTTTGGAATTTCAAATGACTCAGAATCTCTTTACTCTCTCTCTGGTGAATGAGCGAATGATCTCATCTTATGAAAAACAACTTAACCCATTAACTTAATGAAATTCATGTACACGCTTCTCCTTAATTTAATTACACCTTTATTATCATAAATAGAGCTGAATACAGCCGCGCAAAAATATACGTTCCATGGGAATATTTTACATGTACGAAATTTAAAAGAAAAATGTGTATAAAAGTTTGTGTATGTATAACAGATTTGCACATAAAAAACGGAATAAATAATGTTTTTGTAAAAAAAAATACTAATATGAGATCGATTCGAAATTAACAATTTAGTTTCTCATTGATTTTACAGTCTCCAATGGTCACGGCTCGCATAAATTCCACTTTATTTTCCATCACCAAAATCAAAAAATGTTCTGGGCACACGAATTGCGTTGGATGTGTCACAATTTCATTATGAATCATTTGCCTTATGGGCGATGGCATTGTGAATGACGTAAACTCAACGAATCCGTGAGCACCACGGAAAATGTATGTCTGCAATGAAGTAAAAAAAAAAACGTACAATGTATGATGAGTCATTTGAAATACAATACGATGAGCACATTTTCCACATGCCAACACGAAACAATCACTAACCTTGATTTCAGATTCATCTTGAATGAATGCCAAAATCGTTTCCATGTTTATGTTGAACGTGAGTAAGCTTCGAGGTTTGTAGCAGGATATTGTTTGGAAGAGTCGACCATTGACAACATCTTCGAAAATCTGGAATTTAAAATATGTGAGTATGCGTCCACTGGATGAAGAACGAGAATTTTGAAAAAAATGTTTACCTGAATTCGATCATGATCGCCCTTTATCGTGTGTTCGGTAATGGATGATACGGCGATGAGCAATTGTGCACTGGGCCCAAAACGGATAGCGATAATCTCTCCGTTGTGATGCGATGGTAGCGAATGGTTCGGAATCGATACCACTGTCGTTTCGAATTGCTTCGTTTTCTCGGACTCTGGTTTAGGTGCTTCATCATCCTTTGCACTTCTAAATGAACTAATCGATGGGAACATATCCGCGTTGCCGTGCAATTGCTTCCATTCATTTAATTTCTGCTCAAATTCCTTCATTGTTATATTTCGGGTGCATCCAGATTCGGCCTTTGTATTTTCCGTTTGCAGACTGGTTCCGACTTGATCAGGCTGTGATGCCGTGGGGCTCTCTGTTTTTCCTTCAACACCTTCCGTAGTACTTTCTTCCGTCAATTCTTCAATCTTCTCTTCGGACAACTGCTCAGTCTTTCCCTCATTCATCGCGTCAAGTTTTCCCTCCACTTGTTCTCCATCACTTTGCTTCACTATGCTTTGCTTCCGTAGCTTTGTTACAATTCGATCCGACAGCTCATCGATGAGTGGAGTGAATTTATCGAATAAAGCATCAAAGCGACTGCCAATCATTTCATCTTTTGTACCGCTTGACATCGACTCACCCAATACTGATCCAACCATAGCCTCTGAGCCCATATTCGATTCATTCTGTTCATGTTCAATTGTCTCATTTAGTTTGTTCATTAATCCTTTGAAAATCAAAAGATTTGCAGCCTTTTCATCCTCACTTTCATGTCCATGCGAGCTGTTCAGATGCAATTCAAATGCTGCTTTAACGGCATTTCTGATGACAGGCCAAAAGGTTGCGTTCTGATCGTTTTCAGTATTGTTGTTATGGGCCAGCATTTTGATCATTTCCACCGCGAATGCTTGGGCAAATTCTTTTGTGTTCGGCATCACATCTGAGATGATTTCCATTTCTCGCTGTAGCTCTACCGAATGAATTTGATCGTGCAATTTTTTCTTGTTTTGATCAAAAATTTTCACGTTGATTTTATCGGGATAAATTTCTGCAGATGGTTCGTTGGCTTTATCTGCAAGTCCATACACGTCCGGTGGCCCATATGTTATGTTATCGTTCTGATTATCTTCGATATAGTTATCGAAATAGGTGTTGTAGAGAAATTTCACATCCTTTGCTAGGGTTTTTGCCGTTTGGAAGCGTTTTTTTCCATATGCATACACCTTGAACAAAGATTTGCCGATTTTTCGGAAAAATCCAGACACTTTTGAAGAGGTTGCACTGTCATCAGCATCTTCTTTTTTTCCTCCTTGAACGGAGCCGAGCAAATATTCATCATAGTTGTACTGTTTCCAACGTATCTTGTCCAATACTTTATCCATGATTTTATCGGCAAACGGCTGCAATAGTCATGAAGAAAAATGAATAAAAACATGCAATTTTAAAAAATTCAAAAAGCTATTATACCGTCAACTTGAACATGATGTCTCCGAATTTGTCACCGACATTCGGATCTTCTGCTTCATTGCAATTGGCCGCATTGGTGATATTCTCGGCTTCAGAAATCATAACCAAAATGTGATCGACTGAATCTATGCTGGAATCATCATCAATTTCATGCGTTGATGTGAATGGTTCTTTGCTTTCCATTTCCTCCTCTCCCATTTCCGTGGGAATATCGTTACCGCCTTGATTTTCTCTGATTGAATCGATGCTTGCTTGTGATGCTTCAACACCTTCCGTAATATTTTCTTGGATTATTTCGTTTGGTGTTTTTTCAGTCTTTTCCTCATTCAACTCTTCAATATTTTCTTTGGGTTGTTCTCCATTACTTTGCTTCACTATGCTTTGTTTTTGTAGCTTTGTTACAATTCGATTCGACAGCTCATCGATGAGTGGAGTGAATTTGTTGAACAAGGCATCAAAGTGACTGTCATTTGGCTGATCTTTGCTATCGCTTGGCATCGACTCACCCAATACTGATCCAACCATGACCTCTGAGCTCACATTCGATTTGTTCTGTTCATGTTCGATCGTCTCATTTAATTTGCTCATAAATTTGTTGAAAATTAACTGGTTTTTAGCCTTTTCATCGACACTTTCATTTTCATGCGAAATGTTCAGATGCAGTTCAAATGCTGCTTTAACGGCATTTCTGATGACCGGCCAAAAGGTTGTATTCTGACTAGTTCCAGTAGCATTGTTGTTGTCCTGAAGCCTTTTAATCATTTCCACAGCAAATGCCTGTGAAAATTCTTTCGAGTTGGGCATCACGTCTGAGATGATATCCATTTCGCGCTGAAGCTCTATCGAATGATAATCTTCGGTAAGGCGGGTGTAATAGGTATTGTAAAGGTGTTTCACATCATTTGCCATATTTTTCGCACTTCGTAAGCGATCTTTTCCATAGGCATACACTTTTACCAAAGACTTGCCGATTTTTCGGAAAAATCCAGACACTTTTGAAGAGGTTGCACTGTCATCAGCATCTTCTTTTTTTCCTCCTTGAACGGAGCCGAGCAAATATTCATCATAGTTGTATTGTTTCCAACGTATCTTGTCCAATACTTTATCCATGATTTTATCGGCAAACGGCTGCAATAGTCATGAAGAAAAATGAATAAAAAAATGAAATTTTCAAAAATTCAAAAATTTACCGTTAATTTGAACATAATATCCCCGAATTTGTCACCGACATTTGGATCTTGTGCTTCATTGGCCGCATTGGTGATGTTCTCGGCTTCAGAAATAATACCCAAAATGTGATCTAATTTGGAATCATCATCGATTTCATGCGTTGTTGTGAGTGGTTCTTGGGCTTCCATTTCCTCTGCGCTCAGTTTTGTGACAGCCTGTTTTTCTTTGATTGAATCAATGTTCGCTTGTGATGCTTTGACACCTTCTGTAGTATTTTCTTCGGCTATGTCTTCGATCTTCTCTTCAGATTTTTCCTCAGTTTTTGTTGCATTCATCACTATAACATTTTCTTTGGCATGTTTCCCTTCACTTTGCTTCGCTATGCTTTGTTTTCGTAGGTTTGTTACAATTCGATCCGACAGCTCATTGATGAGTGGAGTGAATTTATCGTATAAAGCATCAAAGCGACTGCCAATCATTTGATCGAACGATACCAAGCTTGACATCGAATCGTCCAATATTGATCCAACCATGACCTCAGAGCCCATATTCGATTTATTCTGTTCATATTCGATCGTATCATTCAGTTTGTTCATGAGTCCCTTGAAAATCAAAAGATTTGCAGCCTTTTCATCCTTACTTTCATGTCCATGCGAGCTGTTCAAATGCAATTCAAATGCTGCTTTAACGGCATTCCTGATGACTGGCCAAAAGGTTGCGTTCTGACTATTTTCAGTGTTGTTGTTAACCAGCGTTTTGATCATTTCCACCGCGAATGCCTGGGAAAATTCTTTTGTGTTCGGGATCACCTTTGAGATGATTTCCATTTCTCGCTGAAGCTCTACCGAGTGAATTTGATCGTGCAATTTTTTCTTGTTTTGATCAAAATTTTTCACGTTGACAGCTGGTTCGTTTGCTTTATCTGCAAGTCCATACACGTCCGGTGGCCCATATGTTATGTTATCATTCTGATTATCTTCGATAAAGTTATCGAAATAGGTGTTGTAGAGAAATTTCACATCCTTTGCTGGGGTTTTTTCCGTTTGGAAGCGTTTTTTTCCATATGCATACACCTTGAACAAAGATTTGCCGATTTTTCGGAAAAATCCAGACACTTTTGAAGAGGTTGCACTGTCATTAGCATCTTCTTTTTTTCCTCCTTGAACGGAGCCAAGCAAATATTCATCATAGTTGTACTGTTTCCAACGTATCTTGTCCAATACTTTATCCATGATTTTATCGGCAAACGGCTGCAATAGTCATGAAAAATGAATAAAAACATGAAATCTTCGAAAATTCAAAAATTTACCGTTAATTTGAACATAATATCCCCGAATTTGTCACCGACATTTGGATCTTGTGCTTCATTGGCCGCATTGGTGATGTTCTCGGCTTCAGAAATAATACCCAAAATGTGATCTAATTTGGAATCATCATCAATTTCATGCGTTGTTGTGAGTGGTTCTTGGGCTTCTATTTCCTCCGCGCACAGTTTTGTGGCAGTATCATTGGCAGCCTGTTTTTCTTTGATTGAATCAATGTTCGCTTGTGATGCTTTGACACCTTCTGTAGTATTTTGTTCGGCTATGTATTCGATCTTCTCTTCAGATTTTTTCTTAGCCTTTTTCGCATTCATCACTTTAACATTTCCTTTGGCATGTTTCCCTTCACTTTGCTTCGCTATGCTTTGTTTTCGTAGGTTTGTTACAATTCGATCCGACAGCTCATTGATGAGTGGAGTGAATTTATCGTATAAAGCATCAAAGCGACTGCCAATCATTTGATCGAACGATACCAAGCTTGACATCGAATCATCCAATATTGATCCAACCATGACCTCAGAGCCCATATTCGATTTATTCTGTTCATATTCGATCGTCTCATTCAGTTTGTTCATGAGTCCCTTGAAAATCAAAAGATTTGCAGCCTTTTCATCCTTACTTTCATGTCCATGCGAGCTGTTCAGATGCAATTGAAATGCTCCTTTAACGGCATTCTTGATGACTGGCCAAAAGGTTGCGTTCTGACCGTTTTCAGTGTTGTTGTTAATCAGCGTTTTGATCATTTCCACCGCGAATGCCTGGGCAAATTCTTTTGTGTTCGGGATCACCTTTGAGATGATTTCCATTTCTCGCTGAAGCTCTACCGAGTGAATTTGATCGTGCAATTTTTTCTTGTTTTGATCCAAATTTTTCACGTTGACTTCATCGGGATGAATGTCTGCAGCTGGTTCGTTTGCTTTATCTTCAACTCCATACACGTCCGGTGGCCCATATGTTATGTTATCATTCTGATTATCTTCCATAAAGTTGCGAGAATAGGTGGTATAGAGAAATTTCACATCTTTGGCCAGATGTTTTGCACTTTGGAAGCGATCTTTTCCATATGCATACACCTTGAACAAAGATTTGCCGATTTTTCGGAATAATCCAGACACTTTTGAACGGATAACACTGTCATCATCATCATCACCTTCTTGTTCTTTTCCTTCTTGTGCAGAACCAAGCAAATACTCATCATATTTGTATTGTTTTCGACGTAACTTGTCCATTACCTTATCCATGATTTTATCGGCAAATGGCTGTAAAAACAAAACAATCCAACATTTTTTAATTGAATAATGTGTGGAAAAAATCTTTAGAAACATAAAATTTTCAAAAACCCAATAAGTTACCGTCAACTTGAACATGATATCCCCAAATTTGTCACCGACATTTGGATCTTGTGCTTTATTGGCCGCATTGGTGATATTCTCCACTTCAGAAATCATACCCAAAATGTGATCGACTGAATCTGAATTGGAATCAATATCTTTTTCCTGCGTTGATGCGACTGGTTTTTGGTTCTCTGTTTCTTCCGCGCTTATTTTCGTGGTGATATCTTTATGGGCTTGTTTTTCTTTGATCGAATCGATGGTTGCTTGTGATATTTTGGCATTAAATGTTTGTTCAACTTTGTCTCCTTTAAACTTTTGCTCTTCCTTAAACTTATCGGCAGCTTTGTCGGACCAATAGTCAATGAATAATTGTTTCCATTGTCTTTCGAATTGCTGTCGATGTTCACTAACACCGGTCAAATTTAAGCCGGTGATTTCAGTGAGTAAGCCGCATCGTTTTGTTCGTCGTGTACAATTGCATGCAGTCAAAACGGAGAGTTGATTGCCATCTGATAAAGCTAAACCAAGTTGAGCGTCACCCGGTACAAATCGAACTGAAGACGTCATCGGCGGTGCGGCGTTGTTATCCAACAACCATTCTGTGACGATTGCACCTCTCAAATTGTACTCAATCACATGGCTATCGCTGTGACGAATCACGTAGAAAAGAGCATGGCTGTTTGGTTTCATTTGCATGGACCTGAACTCACCGATGCGACCGAACTGCACCTCTTGGCTAAGACTATTGTCGTTTGGATTAAATCGCCAAACGAATGCTCCCGAAATCAGGCAATTGGAATCGATGGATCCGTCATTGTTTGCAATGAGAAATAGTTGATTTTCGTGGTCAAGCACATGAATCCATTCGACGACATCACCAGTGATAGCTGTGCCCACCTGATCATAGTTGTTACTGGACATGTTCCATGCATAAATTAACGTTTGGCATCCAGAGTTGATGACAAAATAATTTTGTTCAAAAATGTTGAACAGATAAACCGAGTTGATCGGGCTCTGTGTATCAATTGTGAATGCATTGACAAAATGTGACAGGAATATGACGTTTTTCTTCGTATTTTGAATCAATTTCTGTGCTACTTGACACTTTTGTGTGTACTCAGTTTGATATTTTCTGTGTAATTGATCCAAAGTCTGCAAATATTGATTCACATCCATGTCATTTATTCCTTGTGCCACATTCATTGTGCCGACAATGGCATTCTTTATCGTCCATGGCGCAGTTACAACTTGCGGTGTTGTTTTGTATTGCACCAGTGCGTTTTCGAACCATTTATTAAAATTGATACCTGAGATCAAATCGCTCGTATACAATTGGTTGACGGATACCGTTCCAAAGGACAGCGGTGAGTCGATGACAATGTTTCCTTGTTGTAGCGAAGCTGCCAAACGCAAATCACGCCCGTTAACCAATCCATCGGTTACCAAATTGTTTAGCACGCGAACCGATTGGAATACAGTGGGTATATCGATGGATTGAGTGCCGTAAATCTGGAAAGAATTTGAAAAATAACCGTTTTTGGCGCATTCATCGAAGATTTGAAAAATAGTGGCAAAAAACATTGAAGAAATGCAATGGAATACAGAAAATAACTCACCATTAGTGTATTTTCTCGTTCTTTCGGCAAATTATATCCCGAAACCAAACCATCTGCTGTGATTGGCACTGACGAATACACATAATTCAAATGGACTGGCTTATCAAAGGTCTGTTCCGTATACAATGTGATCACTTCATCCATTGGATTTTCGTTGAGAAACTCTGTGTTGATGTTGCTAGCTTCAATTGTTCCATCCGGGAAGGTTATAACACCGTCAAAATCAAACGGTTGATCGGTTCGGATTGTATTTTGTACCCAGTCTGCAACTGAGCAACGGTTGATCGTTTCAGCCACCAAATTTCCGGTGATTTTCATGCGTGGTATAACCACGGGTGCCGCAAAGACAATGTCTGAATAAATATCGACTGGATCGTATTGGTCGATCAACACGACGTTTGCTAGGAATGTAGGTACATTCACTCCATTGTATTCGATCATATCGATGGCCTTTTCAAAATGAATCGTGTCTGTGAAGGTTTTTCTACCTGCAACCACTGCCGGTCGATCGGTTCGAATGATGTTCTTCAAGTGTTCATTCACATTCCCAATGTTATCGTAGCCACCGTGAATTTTGAGATACTTAATGCCGGTGGTTTCATTGAAAAACACATCCTTTTTCAAGACGAATCTCCCACCTTTTGACCGATACGAATTGAGATCTTCGGCAGAAACGCCATTCAAGTGACCTTTTACAATTAAATTGGGAATCATGACATCGCCAACAATTCGAATTGGATTGAAGATTACACGGTTGTAATTCTTGGTTAGAATACGATCCACTTGAATTTCATTGATCGTTGTGACTTCGGCATTATTCAAAATTGTAACATCTTCTTTGAAAACGGTCGTACCGTACACTCTGGTGACATCCGCCGATTTTAATACCTATCGAAAGAAGCGAAAAAATACATAAATTACTTTCTGTTGAGATAATTCAAAAATTTGCTTCGACGTGCTCAGAGTCGAGTCTAAGTTTTGTTTTGGATAAAATAATCCATTTTCTTACCACATCGTTTGAAAATTCATTGAAATTTTCGCCATTCAGCTGCTCTACGTTAATGTTTCCATTCACATAAATTGAATCCAAAAATGTGATCGGAAAATGAAGGTCATTCGTTTGGTCCAATCGAATGGCATTCGATTTAATGTGCTCTAAATCAAAGCCATTGATATCGGCAAACCAAACACTTCCATTCACAATCATTTGATCGACAACAACCGTTGATTCGTTTAGCATTTGTTCGTTGGTTTTCAGATTCTTCAAAATGTTTACAATATCTTTGAAATCGAAACCGTTGAGGAATTTCGTATTAATGCCGTTGCGAAGCACTGCTATTGGTATGTAGGCTGAGCCGGTGATGATTTGCGGATTGTTTTTGCTCAAGTGGGTGTCGACTAAATTTTGAAGACGAAAACCATTGACCAAACTATCTGGGCTGCCTTTTATCTCTCCGTCCAATATCAATTCATCCACTTTCAAACTGCTGACGTCGTGCACATTGCCAGTCAATTCAAAATCTTCATCGATGCTTATGAAGTCATGCACCTGTGAATGAGATTTCGGAATGATTTTGTTTAATGCTTACTGACTTTTTTCATCAATTTTTAATGAAGGTTTAACCAATTGAAAATTCTCAAAACAAACTTACATCAATTCCATTCACCGTCTCCAGCACTTCCAATTGATTGGCATCAATTTTGACATAGTCACCGTCCGCAAACTCAAATTCAGCATCTGTGTACTGTTCACCGAATAATTTCAGCGAATTTAAATCCAATTCGGTGACATTAATGAAATTGAATAGCCCGTCTAATTTCAATTTTTGGAAGTAAAAATTTCCATGCAATTCGCTCACATCGAATGTTTGTTCGGTGTCGTTCGTAACAAATGACGAGAATGGAATGTCATTGATGAGATTGGCTGTGAGCTGAATATTTGGTGCTTGTACGGTGTCGAATCTTTTGAATGAATTGATTTGAGGTGCTGTCTCGTGTTTGTATACCACATCGGCAAGGACATCATCCACAAATACGCTGTCCATTGTATTTTGCACATAAAGCGGTCCCTCAATTTCAAGCGTATCGAAATAAACGGTCGATCGAATTTGACGGGTTTCATTCAACGTTGGATTCGACAAAAATTCATCAAGCCGTCGACCAGATATCGTGGCATTCGGAGCCATCTTCAGGGAAAATCGAAACATCGTTGATTTTTTCGTTAAGAAATATATGCAAACAAGCTATAGCTTAAGATATACACTTACCTCCAATGTTTCAGTCACTTCCAAATGTCGAAATGTTGTCGTGCCAGGAATGTACTGCGAGCTGTTGAGTGAGATTACCTGAGACAGTTGAACGCCATTGAAATTGCCAAAGCATTCCGTAGCATTGGTTACTGAAAATTGAATAGAAAAAGAATAACCATGATTGAAACTCTTTGATTGGATTCTTTCTGAACTTGTCCACTGTGAACAACAAACAAAATCAAATATGTCCAAACAACGTAACAATTTTAGCATTCAACAAACCTAGAACATTTTTGAAGACCTTTTGGCTGGTCACAATGATTTCATCGGTGGTTTTAGTTGAAATAAAGCCACTTGGAAAAGGTATATCATTCAAATTCTCTACATTTACCGTCCCAGCTTCTACACTCTGTTTTGGAATGAAGAGAAAAATTAGCTAAAATCTGGTCTCAAAGTGAAAACCCTTCAAAAAAAAATACTTACGCCAGTAATTTCCAAATCATCAATGCTATTGGGCAGATGCTTCAAAACGATTTGATTGATAAAATCTTTCCACTTGATGCCGTTGATCTCTTCAAAGTGTAGATCGCCGGTAATGACCGTCATCTCGGGTTGCTCTTGTCCCAGCAGCTGATCGATGCCGTCGTATGTTCGTTCAACGAACTCTGGTTCAATCGGTTGATTCAGTATAACGGTGCCATCCAATTTCAGATTGCCATCTGTGACAAATACCAACTCTTCGGCTGGAATATCATTGATGTATCGCACATTCAATTCGCTCACATTGACGGACTTCAAATGCAGATGCTCAATCACATTTTTATCTTCTCGTTTGTTCCGTTTCAATTGTTCAAGTAATTGAAGATTTGTTTCAGTTTCATTCAATACTTTCAAAAACGCATCAACATCTTCCTTTGTGATGAGATCATCGCCCAAGAAAACACCTTGCGTTGGAATGAGTGTGCCTAAATCGAGTTGTTGTGTGTAAATGACGTCAAGGTCTTGATTTCTGATTGTAACCTCATCCATTGGACCCTTTGGAAAGCTCTCAGTTAGTTCTCGTGCTTCGACCAACACTTGATCGCGTATGTCAAGCATAATGATTACTTCAGACAGTAGCTCCAATAGGTGTTCGTTCAAGGTTGATGCGGCGGGCAATAGATCAATTTCCAAATCAAACAAACCGGACGGTGCTTCATGTCGCGGCACAATTATTGAGATCGATCGATTGCGTTGAAACATTGTCGCACCAATAATACCCAGATCACGGTATTCATCGAGCATACAGCCCAATCCCAGATCCGATGCATGCTCGTCGATATAGCATGGCACTTGCAGTGCTGGATGAAATGCTTGTCCATTCCAAATCAATGCTTCCAAAAATGAATTTGTGTGCGAACCGTAGTCCATGCGATGCTGTACGAAAAGTATTAAATCGTCGCGATACGTTCGTGCCGGTACGGGCATAAAGAACTCAACATTTCCCCAACTCTTTGACAAAATGGTCTGATCCTGAAACGTGCCGCGATGATAGCGTAAAATTTTCGCTTTACTACCTCCAATCGTCAGGTATGAATAGCCACCCATTTCAAAGGCCGACAAAATGTTGGCATTGTGCGATTCGATTTGCGTGTAATACCTGAAATGATCTTTGTGATACTTGTAGATGACTGCATGGCTTTTTTGCGGGAAACACATGAATGTATCAAACCCATTTTGAATGAGAGCCATATTCTTGGCGCGGCTTTTCAATGATAGACTTTGGCGCAGGAAGAACACCTCTTCATTCATATCAAATCGGTACAGACTTGCCGCCGAACCACCATGCAAATCGGTTATAATCAACAGAGTGTCCACATTGTCAAGCACCAAATGATGCAAATATCGTGCAATGTTATTTGTTGGCCAAATCCAAATCACTTCCATCTTATCCATTGCCTCATTCACGCGAAGAAAAACAATCTCATGTTGAATACTCACGATGACAATGCCATCGATCGATTGCTGCGTTTCATTCCAATAGGTGAATGTAATGAAAAACGTTGGACTTGATAGCAAATGCTTTTCGACTTGAAGTTTGTACGTGCCATTCGTTTCCAACACCAAAAGTACGCTTGTATTTGTGACTCCGATAAGTGCATGCGATTCACGTTTGTTTCGCTGCAGTGTTCGCCAGCCAATCACATTTTCGCCGATATTAAAACGCATGTCTTCGGTGACCGATGTGATGTTGAGCTCTTCTCGCACGCGATTTGCTTCGATGAACGGCGCCTCTTCGCTGTTTGCATAGCTTTCAACTGTGTTTGAAACAATGCCCTGAATCATCATTTGTTCGGCCGCTTGTGCCATCATTTTCTCAATTGTCTTTTCGTTAGTGTCAGCACCATGGTCCATTTCATCATCGGATGGCTCATTTTCATTTGGCAAATGATTGACAAGTTGCTCGTCGGCCGATACACTTGGTTTTTCTTCGGGCACATACGAAAAATCGCTGCGTGCACTGCCAAGCGTTTGTTCTTTTGTGATTTTTCGCGGTGCACCGAATAAGCCTTGCCAAAAACTGGAATAGAAATTGTCAAATGATGGAAATGCAGGCGGATAAAACTGTGGCGGAGGAGGAGGCGCCGGTGTGGTTGGCTCATAATACTCTGCGGGATAATATTGCGGTGGTACATTCGACTCTGGTACGACTTCTGCACTTTTTTGGTTCATGTTTTGGACTTCTGACGCGGAATGAACATAAATGCCATGTTTCACCGCGTAGTTAATTTGTTTGCGAAGATCCGCTGTCTCTTTCAATTGCTGCATGGAAATTCGATTGGGATTCGTGAGCTTCTTCTTCTTCTTCGCAACGTCTTTGTCCATCAAATAGTCGGGCAGAACGACTGGTTTGTGAGCATCACCCAGTGATGATTCACCGATCGGTTGTGACGATGATGAAAGTGGCGCAATCGAAAGTGGCCCAATCGGAAATGGCCCAGTTGAGACTGTCGCCACATTACCTACTGACACTGGAATCTGTTCCTGTGTAGGCAGTGTTTGATGTGGACACGGCGGTGGAGCTAAACTCACTCCTCTTGATTCAAATGTCGTTTTGTATGTATCTAACAATGATGGAAGCTTTGATTTACCTTTTAAGAGCGAGCTGTTGCGAATGCTTCCTAAAATCGGCGAATCCAATTTGTCCGCTATCGTCTTTTCCAATGACAATTTGATTTTATCCAATGACTCTCGAATCTTTTCGGCATAGAGTCGTTTCGGGCGATCAATCTCGGTTTCACCATCTTTATCGCCCGAAATTACTTCCTCTGAATCGGCTGATGCTGCGTTATGCCCCTGTTAAATACACACAATTATGTAACGCAATTGAAACAATCAAAACGATTTTCTGCTAACATAACCTAAAAGCATGTTTCTCTCTCTCTCTCTCTTGCCCGTGCACAATGAAATGTACATCAGCAAATAACGTGAGAATTTTCGGCAGCCGAATGATTTATGGGAATGTTTTGTCTTTATTCGCCGTTGATTGCGATTTAATTACAATTGTGAAAATTTTGGCGTATTTTTCTAGCGATACTTACCAAAGCATTATCATCGTTGGCGACTGTGCTGTCTACTTTTCCGTATACAAAGCACGCCGCCAGCAGCATCAGTGCTAGCAATTTGATTTTTATCGGCATCTGGTTTGTTACACTCACACGATTTGTTCGTTTTTTCGACGATAAACAATAGACAAATTAAGTTTTTTTCTGAAACAATTTGAGTTTTTTTACCTAATTGCATACGAATTTTATTTTGCGCACATAAAGAGTGCAACGACAACCGGTGACGCGATGCAAGAACTATCAACGTTTCAACAACTTGTTGCTGTGACTGTCTCTCGGCAACTATGAATATTTCATTCGTACTAAACTGCTTGATACACACAGAGAGAGAGAGAGAAAGAGAGAGAGAACGAAAGAACGAACACTTTCATTACATTGCGAGCGTGCTGATAGCATCGCAGAGGTTGGCTATCGTGTAACTGTGTGCGATAAAAATCATTTGTCACATTTCGATATTGCAGCCGTTGAGTGGTTTGGTTCTAAGCACATTTTCGTAACAACCACAACGCGGTGCGTAATCGAAAAGACAGCGGCGAATTGAGTCTAAATCAAACCATGTGGCAATGGAAAATTTCTTTTTGGTGCACATCGTGGCTGGATCGTTTGTTTTTTTGTTCTCTCTCGTATACCACACAGCATTGATTTATCGTGGTTTTTTGTGAATGCTCGTGTTTTTTGTCGCTTTTTGTCACGTATTCATTGGAAAATTGACTGAATTGACTTGACCGATCGCGGTTTTGGTGCATACTGGCAATAGAAAACAAACTGCATACATTTCAAAACCTCATAGACTGCATAGATTTCAAATACTGTATTTTCGCTTGAATTGCCAGCCGATTTGTGTAAGTGTACAAGTGCGTATGCGAGTTTGATTTTTTTTTAGTGATAAACTGAGTCACTTCGACTGAATTTTTGGAAGGGAAAGAAAAAAATAAACGAAATTTCACATTCATGTCGTGATCAATTTTATCCAAATTAAGAAACCCGCCAGTGAGCCATCGAAAGAGAGAAATTGTGCGTTTTTAAATTAGACCAAACGAAATGACGGAGACATTAAGCGTAATTCAAATGCGTTTGTGACAAGACAAAACAAACAAAATTCAACAGTTGCTTTCAATCGATTCGATAACCTATTTTGATTTTGAAATAATTGTGAATATATATGAAAATATGGTCGAAACAGCCACTATAATCGGTGCTGGTATTGTCGCTGCAGGTTCGTTCGGCTTACTTATGTGGTTCATGTGTAAAAGTAATTTTCGTCGTGATGACGCCGCAGAACGGCGAGAAGAAGATATCCAAAATCAGAGATGGTGGGTGATGTATTCGTTGGCACCGGTGAAAATCTAAAAAACCTTCCGAAGTGAAACACAGACACAAAAAAGATAATATAGAGACAAAAGTTGAAATACATTAAAACCCGAACATTGCAAACTCGACGACGATTAAAATATTAAGTGTAGAACTCTAAAAATAAAAAAAAAACGCGATAGAGAAGCGACACTGAAAGAAAATCCAAAAAACGAAAAAGATGTTACGAACAAAAAAGGACGTCGACAAACATGTGCGTACAACGCTATCGAAATTGCGCGAGAAAGAAGTAAGTAAATGCATTTTATCGGGTGTAGTTTGTGAGAAAAAACTATTAAAAAATTGATTGGATGTTGCGTGCGATGGTCAATCGTTGATGTTTCGATGCATTTTTGTGCATTGCTAGTGAAATTATTGCGCTATTCGAGGAAAACGTCAATTGACGATTGTGTTGCAATGCCAACACGACCTTCGGTGCAAAATTCAACAACACAATACAAAAAATATCAAAAACTAGCACAAATGGAACGATTCCATCCAAAAAGAGTCGAGAATTTTCGACATTGTCGATGACAGAGAAAAAAAAAACACATTGTGAAATTTGTTTGTGTAAATTGGTTTGATGACAGAATCGGGATTTGTTTGACAAAATGGACGTGCGATATGGATGTGCCGTTAACCGGTATACACAACCTATCGACGCGTTGTTTGCCATTTATTTGTTATTTCAATCGCGTTTATTTATATCAATTTTTGTTGAAAAATGAAAATGTTTAAATATCGAAAAGTTTTCATTCTATGTATGAATATCTGTTCAAAACAACAATTGATTGGATTTTTTGTTTATTTTCTCTGTCAATTTTGCGCAGAAAAATCTTCGCGGCTATCGAATTGCTGGTCTTTATTACAACATTGGCGAATATAGTTCTGCATTGGAATACATTCAGCGGCACATACAAGTCAACGACAAAAATGCGAGTCAAGAGCTGAAATCAATCTTTGGAAATCTCTCGAAACCAGCCTCATCCACGCCATTCTCGTCACCCGGTACAACGCTAACGCCAGATACAAAGAAAACCGAAACACCAAAATCAGATGCAACCAAACCAAGCCCATTCGCATCATTTTCATTCGGTGTGCAATCAACAGTTGCATCCTCAACTGGAAATCAAACGAAACCGCTGTTTTCGTTCAGCAACATCGGCCAGTCATTGAACAAATCGGAAACATCATCGTTGGCCAATGCTGCAACGCCAGAGACTCCACAAAATCAAACCGACGCAAACACCTCATCACATTCGGCAAAAGATGAAGAGGCAGACAACTATGAGCCAACCGCACACTTCGATCCAGTTATACCGTTGCCCGATTTGATTGAAGTGAAAACCGGCGAAGAAAATGAAATCACATTGTTTGAACATCGCGCCAAATTGCTTCGTTACGTGAAAGAAACGAAAGAGTGGAAAGAACGCGGAATCGGCAAGATGAAGGTGATGGTCAACAAAGAGGATCCGAACAAAGTGCGTTTGTTGATGCGCCGTGAACAAGTATTGAAAATTTGCTGCAATCAACTCTTAGTGAAAGATACAAAGTTCAATAAGATGCCAAACGCTGAAACGGCATTGACATGATTCGGACAGGATTATTCGGAGAACGAGTTGCAAGTGGAAATGTTGGCAATTCGATTCAAAACGGCTGAACTCTGCAAACAATTCCACGATGCAATTCTATCGGCGCAGAGCCACATGACCGATGAAAAATCACAGTCAGCTAAATTGACATCGTCCAAAGACGACAAACCATCGAATAAACCAGCTGAAACCAAAGGATTTGGCGATCAATTCAAGCCGAAAGCTGGTTCATGGTCGTGTGAAATGTGCTATGTCAATAACAAGGCCACTGACACAAAGTGTCTATCGTGTGGTTCACCCAAAGACAAGAATGCACCACAGGACGATGCAAAAGCAGAGGCGCCGAAATCCACATTCAGCTTTGGCAATTTATCGGCCGCTGTGAAGAGTACACCACAAGACAGCGCAAAAACCGAACCACCCAAGTCAACATTCGCTTTTGGAAATCTTACTACAAAACCAGCAACGGCGGCTCCAGCACGAATTACAAACACCAAAACAGATGCATCGAAACCAACAGGAAAAGGATTCGGCGACCAATTCAAACCGAATTCAGGCTCATGGTCGTGCAAAGCATGCTACACATCAAACACAGGCGATGCCATCTGCATGCTGCGAAGAACCAAAAGATGACACCGTTCCAAAGAAGGAGAAGCCAAACATTTTCGGTTCATCAAACGGTAAGCAAACATATGACTTTCTTCTCCATTTACAACAAATTCGTTCTTTGAAACAGTATATACTGTCGATTGCGTACATTTTTTTCTTGAAATACTTTTTATAAAATCGTCTCTTGTTTTATCCGGTGCACCAAAGTTCAGTTTTGGCAATTTGGCTGCTGCTCAGAACACAACTGCTTCAACAGCAGCTTCAACGGTTGCCCCAAGCACCGCCACCAATACATTCGGTTCGTCATCGTTTAGTTTCTCATTTGGATCGCAGAACGCACCAGCTGCATGTGCTTCTGTTGTTCCAGCATTCAAGCCAGCCGAAGCAAGCGTTCCAAAATTGGATTCCAAGGAATTCAATTTTGTGTTCAAGGGCAAGAGCCCGGGAAAGCAACAGCCCGTTGAGCACAACGATGGCGTTGAAGACGTGTCCGATGATGAAAATGTTGAAGAAGAGGAAAGCACCGCTTACTTTGCACCAGTCATCCCATTGCCTGACAAAATTGAAGTTAAAACCGGCGAAGAGGACGAAAACGTGCTCTACTCACATCGCGCCAAATTGTACCGTTTCCGTAGCTCAGAATGGCGTGAACGTGGTCTTGGCTATGTGAAAATTTTGCAACACGAACAGACTGGCCAATTGCGGTAAGTGTGTCGAGAATTGAATTGAGTCAATGGCGCATTTCAAATCTGTCGTTAGATGGAATAAAACCCAACTAATATTTTTTTTTACTTTTTACTTTTTTTTCATCCAGTGTTGTTATGCGACGCGAGCCAATTCACAGAGATCTGCTTAAATCACAAACTTACACCCGATATCGAATACAAGCCCAAAGATTCAAAATCATGGCAATTCATTGCCAATGATTTCAGCGAGGGAACATATGAATTGGACAATTTCTGCTTGCGTTTCAAAACGGAAGAGATAGCCCTAGAATTCAGAAATGCAATTGATGATGCGTTGGCTGGAATTGCGGCAAACGTTGTGAATGGCAACGCCAACGACCAGACAGACGCTGCGTCGAATGTAACGGCTGAGGAGAGTAAAATTACCACCGATCTCAAATTGCCGACCAATTTCTTTGACTACAAGTCAAAGACAGACTGCACTGGTTGCCGTGGTTGTTCTTCAGACGATTTCGTGTTCTCTAAAGTGAAAGACACGAATTTGGGTCAAGTTGATGACAATCCGTTACCATTGGATCCACCACCGAAAGTGGACACCACACACAACGATTTGTCGAAGGACAGCAAGAACACATTCTCATTCGCATCGTTCGCAAATGAAAGCAAAGGAAATGGCTTCGGTTTTGCACCAACATCAACCGCAAATACTATACAACCGACGGGCATGTTCTTTGGCAACAACAGCTTCAAGTCGCCATTCACAGCGAACACTGTGAAGAAAGATGCAACAAGTACACCGCCAGCTTTTGGACAATCGAATTTGTTCGGCGGAAACCTAACAAAAACTCCATCAGCCGAAATAGTCAAATCATCACCATCATTCTCGTTCAATAGTTCGGGCGTTTTTGGAGGAAACAGTATGACAATTTTTAAGTTTTCTTTATCTTAAAAAATGCTAAATTTTGTTCATTTTATCTTTTTCCTTCTCTGAAGCTGAGGAAAAGTCACCATTCTCATTCGCTACGGCAACCAGCAAACCTCAAGGTGAGTTAAAATAAAAATTTCTGGTCGAGTATATGCGGCGAATAGATTTGTTCACTTTGACTTTGATACCAAATTTGCTTGAAATTATTAAAATGAAATTTTATGTAAATATCAACAAAACATTCATAGAAAAACCAGCTGAATCGAAACCATTGTTCAGAACTGCAGCCACATTCGGTTCGACTAATGTCACGAAAACCCCATCGACAAACATATTTGGAGGAAATACGAATGGAAACAGTGATAACAAGGCAAAAGAAACACCCACCACTGGATTCTCATTCAAATTGCCATCGTCAACGACCCTAACACCGGTCACAGAAATTGATTCACCGGCCAGTACACAACCACCGCCAAATTAACATCGACTCCAGTCAGCGAAGTGCCCAAATCCGTCGAACAAAAATCGGCCGGAACGATGTTCAGTAGCGCCGGTGGCCTCAGTTTTGCCGATCTTGCCAAGAAAACCGATACAAGCGAACCGTTCCCAACAGCAAACACTGTCAGCTTCTCAGATCTGGCACAAAACTCAGCCAATGGTTCACCGGCCTTCAGCAAAGCACCATCAACGACTGGTGGATTCTTTGGTTTATCACACAAAGATACGTTCAGCAATTTGATGTCACCGCAGAATGGCAGTGGCAATCAAACAGCAGCATCCAACGATGATGACGGTGAATATCATGCCGAAGATGCCAACTACGATCCACATTATGATCCAAACATTGCATTGCCCGATGAAATTCAAGTCAGCACCGGCGAAGAAAATGAAGAAAAACTGTTTGGCGAACGAGCCAAACTCTACCGGTTCGATTCAGACAACAGAGAGGTAAACATTCATTGAAATTCATTATCTTGGATTGAGAGAAAAGCAATTTTTTCCGCATGAGATATCATTAAACTAAACCATGTTTTATCCGTTTTCCAGTGGAAAGAACGAGGTGTCGGCGAATTCAAAGTGTTGCATCATCCAGACAACGGATCGTATCGTTTGCTGTTGCGTCATGAACAAATTCACAAGCTGATTTTGAACATGGCATCGACTGTTGATCTGCAAATCAATCCGATGGAACAGAACGATAAGGCATTCATTTGGGTGGGCCAAAACTTTGCCGAGGAACAGGAAAACGGTGAACTCGAAAGTCTCTCAGTTCGATTCAAAAATGCTGATTTGGCGAAGAAATTCATCGATACCGTACAAAGCTGTGTGGACAAACTGAATGCTCGTAATTGAAAACACATAAGGCCAACCAAAACAATCGCTTTCGTTTAAATTTCAATCTTAATTTTTTTTTTACTTTTTTCGCAACCATACACAAAACAAATCAAAAGAAAATCTGTTAGAAGCGCTAGTCGAATTTTAATAACAAAAAAAAACAAAAAATAAATAGACTGTTTGTAATACAAGAGTCCAAAAGTATTGGATATCGTTAAAGCGATTGCCATTTAAGATGAAAAGAAGAAGAAGAAAAAACGAAAAATACTGGAAAATAAAAGATGTCTTACAGCTCTGAAATTAGAACATTTCTTTATTTTTTATGACAAATTTTAACTCTCTCCGACTTGTCGATATTAGTTAAACCTTAAAATTTCCAGAATAAGAACATGTTGATCCAATTTCTCGCCAAATTTCCAAAAATTTTGGAAACCATTTCTTCTATTCCTTCTGTGTACCAGAAACCACAATTACGTTGAATTTATCTCTGAAGTGATCTGTATACTTTTGTGGATTGATTTCCATATCCAAAAACCACTGGCGACCTATGGAACACAAGAATTAAACGATTCAGTTTTAATCATTGCTTAATCAAAGGTGGAAATGTCAGTCGTCACCTAATGATAGGCTGC